TGCAGGAGCAGGAGCAGGAGTAGCAGCAGTAGTAGGAGCAGCACGATTACCAGCGATGATGGTGCACAGCTGAGTTCTGGTGGGAATAAAAAGGCTATGGGAACACGGCAGGCACATACATATATCAAGGCCAGGGCAAACAAAAAACGTTAATACATTTTCACTAAAACAGGGTGTCCTTGAAGGAGTCTAGATAATAAAGATTTCTATTAAAATCTTTTAAACCAAATTAAATTTTCTTAAGCTAAAGTAATCTTAATAATCTGATACCTTAATATTCATATATATTTTAAAGGAAATAACCCCGATTAACCCTGTTTAAATGCCAACTTCAATTGGCCAACTATCATTTCTCATGCCCGTTGCCCGTTGCAGCACCTTTAAATATTTGATTCAGCAAATAATTTGATTGCAAATCGACATTGAGCAGATATTTTGTATTCAGTTTAAAGCAGTAAAGCAAAAGGTCGATGGATATTCCCCTCGACGTTAAGCCTAATGAACTGGATATTGCCTGTATACACGACAACGACAACGAGTCTCTTTTAATTTCCTTTGCGGACTCTCGGGCATTTATGGCTTTCATCTGGTAATCAATGTAATAATTGCCAAGTGCTTTGATTACTCTGCTCTGCTGTTGCATTTTGGACCAACGGGGGAACCGTTGCTTTAATTATGTGGAGCCTTCGTTCACTAATGAGTCCTGGAGATGGGTCTTAATTAGTTGGTCGGTTGCTAGGTGGGAAATCTCTCTCTCATTCGGACGCAGGCAATCGTCCAGGTTAAATGAGGCTAAAGCGAAAGCTAAAGGTTAACGGATACGAAACGATGGTCATTAAGCCAGTTTCGAAGACGGTGGTGGCTGGGGAAAGAGCATATCTGATTGAGTTAATGCTTCTACATCAAGCCAACATCGATACAAATGTAATATGTTGTAATTATTCAGGATAAAGTCACTGCGAATCTCGATAAATATGGATTTAAAGACGGCGAACATCATTGAAACATTCTAAAGCAATCATTTTGAACCCTGTCATTTCACATTCATTAGAATATATCATCTCTCCTACCTGATTTACAAACAAAATGTATTTTTCTCTTATTTTCCAAAGTCCTATTACCCCAAAGCAGATTCATCTCACGGCGAATCGTATGCAAATCTTATAGAAGACCTATTGCATAACTTGTCACAAATTCGTCGGCAATCTGAACAAATGCCGCCTGCTTATGCTAATGTCTTTCTCATGTCCCGAGGCGAGACTTAGACAGATAACCGCAGTCACAAACGCCACATCACCTCAGCCGAAACGGAAACGGAAACCGAAACTGAAAGTCAGGGGGAGGCGTCGCGAATCTGACGCAATGCAAGACAAAAGGTCAGATGTCAGGTGGGAAATATGCTAAATATGCATATGCCCATCAAGGGATAAGGGGTTGGTTGCTGTGACAGCAGCAGCAGAAGGGTTAGAGGTAGAGTGTCCTTACAGCCAGCTCTGTTGTCAATATAAGATCTGCCAAGCTAGATATGGGGCATATGGCAAAGGAAGGGAGAACGGAACCCCACACCTACTGTACCTAGACTCCGGAGACAACCGAAGGTGCAAACAAGAAAACTAATTGAATTTATGCTAATTAGCCCGCCGTGACTGGGCCATACTTGCAGCGTTAATTATGGGAGCCTGGGCATACGGGGCGTATGCGTAACGTGTAACCTAAATGAAATTCTAATCAATTGCTTGGCAAATTTGCATAATGGCCATGAAGTCGAGGCAAAGCGAGCAAGTAAAGCAGGCCAACGCTCACGCACATACACATTATCAATCACTAATCGATGAAATCGATAAGGTTAAAAGTAAACACACGGACACGCAGGGAAGGCGGAAAAGCGCGTTTTTCCCAGCCACAGCCCCAGCCCCAGCCCCCCCGTTCTCTGTCTAATTAGGCAATGCAACTGCAGTGCCGCCGTGTTTAGTTACAAATTCATCGGGCTTCCAGCTGATTGATTCCCCGCCAGACTGCAGTCGCCCTGCGGGAATGGGAATGGAAATGGTATCAGGAGCTGGTAGAACCCTTCAATCATTTTTATTTCATGATTTATTCATCTAGACACCCGGAATGCTTTTCGCTCAGTTGGATCTGCGGCAGCCGCAACATTTTAATGGCATTTTTAGCCAGCGCACATGGTATGTATGTATGTCCCTATCTGTGGCATGGGGGCTCCGAATTTTATATTTTTTGCTGCCTTTTCCGGGACTCTTAAAAAGTTGCCTGGCCTTTAATTGTAATTGCAATTTTATGTTGGCATTTTGTATTTGTTTCTCCTCTCCAAAGGGAAGAAATAAAGCTCAAAGAGGCCTCAGGTGTTTGGCCAGGTCTTTCCAAGTGCTGTACATTATTCTGTGAAAGTAAATGACATTGAAGGAAGCCTAGGAAAAACAAGAAGCTTAAATTATACCATTTTTTTTTTTATAAGAAAAACTTGAAGAGTAAATAATAGTCTTTCTCCTCCTTCTCCGTTTATAATAACAACATGAAATATTCATATTATTTTTAATTGTGGTACACACATTTCCCAGCCGTCCCTAAACTAGCCTCTCCCGCACCAAGTTATCCAACCATTCCCACTCCTTAGAGCCTTACCTCAAGTAACTGTTAAGCCGGAGGAACATTGGAAATGAAAAAGCAAAGTAATAAGGGGGAAAACCCACTCAATGTTAGTTTAGACTCACTCAAAGTTGAGGCCGCAACTGGTAACCCAGCAACCCAGAGACCTAAATTTCCAAAAGCTAAGCAGCCTTGGCAAAGCTCTGAACCTGGATGCTAGTAAGCTTCCCCAATAATACACCAGTATTTCAAAGTAAGGATTTTCCTACATATAAACAGTTCAGGCTTTCATTTACTTAAACAAACAATTGCATCTTGGACATACACACTGGTATATACACGCATTTACATAACTTAAAGCTTGCTTTAATTGTGCTAACTGATTCTAAATCAATTCTGCTTATGCTTAGGCCTATAAATCAGTGCAGATCGGAATCGTCCACGCGGAAGGGCTTGCGCGAGAGGTATAGAACGATGATGGTGGTCAAGGCGCTGACCAGGAATATGACATCGAACCATCGATGATAGAAATTGAATTGAATTGAGTTGCCCAGGACCTCGGTGATGATCACCCGGTACTCGGCCGGCATATTCATGCGCATCAGCAGCACCGAAGAGCAGAAGTACATGCCCATGATCTGACCCAATATCAGCACGATTATGTTGCTCGATTTGCTCGATGAAATGCGATAGAAGAACTGTAGAACCAAATATAATAAGTAAAGGGTTTAATCCTGGCCAAAACAGCTACCCACCTTGGTGAGCGTCAGCAGCAAGCCTCTTATGGAGGTCACCACAATGCAGCCCACGAGCAGAAAGGATATATGCTGGTTCCAAAAGGCAAAGTCTATGTCAAAGCCACACCAATGAATGGCTATCTCCAGGCCGCGGGTCACGGGATCCTTGCGGCCCACTCTGTCGAAGATGATGTTGATGCAACACTGCCAAGGAAATGAATTGTTTTTACGAGGAAACTTAGTAAACCTGTAATACCCACCATAAATATCTTATAGACGCAGTAGACACTGAAAAAGTGTCCCAAAACATTAAAGTATTTGCCCTTTAGGGTTTGCGACCACCTTTGGCGCTCCTCCATATTTTTCAGGGAACTTAGCTCCAGAAAAACCGAACGCAGCAGCTCCTCCAGGCCATAGACTTCCTGTTTCAACTGATTGATGTCTAAAAATCAAGGATAAGTGAATATAAATAGAGATTTATGGAGCCGTTTTCGAACCTTCGCCATTGCTTGTATTTCTCTGCACGGCCGATGTTAGCATCTCCCAAATCCTGGGCTTTGTCGGATGCAGTTTATTGTGGTTATAAACGGATATGGCAATCCTTCGCTTCTTGCCCGTCAGCATGTCCACTGTTAGGGCCAAACGCCGCTCCAGGCAGATGATGTCATTCCGCGAAACGGGCCTGGCCAAAAAAAAAAGAAGAGTGCAAAATGCATGTCACACACAAAGATAAGAAGGGATTTATGGCCATTCGCTCACTTGATGAAGTAGGTCATGCTGGTGTAGGGATAGTTGACGGCACCGAAGCCGGACAGTATGGCCATTACTGTGACACCAATCACGCTTATCCGGGACACGCCCTGCTCGATCGTAAAGATGCCATGCGAGGCGCTAAGCAGGGGAAATGGCTCGCCAATCCGCCAGAGGCCATATAGAAAGACGAACCAACAGAAGGTGGTTAAGATTCTAACCCATCTATCGGAAACTACAAATAAACTCAAACTTAGATGATGAAATACTTTGAGTAAGAACGTGGCCTTACAGAAGGAAATGCTGTGTATCACAGAGTGGCATATATAAATGGGTATCACGGCAGTGACCATGAACAGCAGCAGGGTGAGGCCCAGTCGCCAGTGGAAGTAACGCGAGCTGGACTCCAGAACGTCGATGATTTCGAATATAATCAACTCGAACATGGTGATGGAGAGAGCGAAGGTGGACGAGAAGATCAACTGAACGGATATGTGCCGGATCTCGTAGTGCTTGAAGAGCTCCCTGTTGAAGAACAGCCAGCCGCCGGCAAAGAACAGCATCTGAAATCGGTTGAATTGGACGTTATTTCTATATTTTCTGGATATATCATACTACTTGCCTGCGAAACAAACACGATCACACAGTCGCCCAGGAAGGCCATTTTGAGGCCTTGTCTCCCTTCAGCTCGGATATGTTAATTGCTTTTCAAGGCAGCCTTTTCACTGGCATCGCTTAGTTGCACTAACTAACTGCAAAAACAAGTGTTCTTGGAACGGAAAGTGCCAACAAGCAAATATAAACAAAAAACGCCGAATAGGTCCGATAACATTTGAGGAAGAACTTTTATCGATATCGGAATCATACTTTCTGTGTGACCGTTTAAATACTAACTTGTTTACCGTTTTCTTTGGTATTTTCTTTTAAGGGGTGTAAAAACACATAACTTTTTATGAAAAATCAAAACAAAATCCGATGACCTCCTGCTGGATGTGCACAAACTCTGGGACGTGGACAGGATGTCTTGCTATTATCGCCAGCACGAGGACACGGCGGTGACCGTGCCGAAATTCACAAACGAAACCTCCAGCGGCGGTGTGACCTACTACGATGTCAAGGTGCGGGTGGGCACCTTGGAGTGGCTGGTGGAGCGGCGCTATCGGGACTTCGCCCAGCTCCACGACAAGCTGGTGGAGGAGGTGGCCATCAGCAAGAAGCTGCTGCCACCGAAAAAGGTACGCCCCTTTAGGTTTGATAATGATAGATGCTTCTATAAACGGATATTTCCAGCTGGTGGGCAACAGACAACCCGCTTTCCTGGAGCAGCGCCGCGAGCAGCTGGAGATCTATTTGAGGGAGCTGCTAATCTACTTTGGCGCGGAGCTGCCCCGCGCCTTGGCCGAGTTCCTGGACTTTACCAAGTACGACATCATCTACCTGCTGCAGGATCTTGCCAAGCTGTTCAACGAGAGCGGGGATGCGCTGCTAAGCTCCAAGAAGGAGTACAACCTGTCGGCCCTGGAGGTGAGGAAAATACCTTTGATATTCCTGTTAAGTAGTTTCAAGTTTCCCACACTGAGCCATGTCAAAATTATTCGTATTTAGTCTTATCCAAGCCAGCCCACGGCGGCTTGGTAATCTCTTTGATAACCTTGTCAGAGGGCGAGGCATAAGCTTTTCCCTGGGCACGCTCCACAAACCTAGCACCAACTTCTCCCGCGAGCTGCAAAAGACCCTCGATTCGGAGAGCAATTTCAGGAAAATTGAAAAGCTCTTCAAGTACCTCCGGCAGCACCGTAAATGGTATCGGGAAAATGACTTGGTCGACCCTCATTACTTCAACTATTTACTCTTGGACCCTAGAGTTACGAATGGGTTGAGGCAGCGCGCACGTAGCATCCATCAAATGGATGTTTGGCTCACTTTTCTCAAAGCCATTTTCTACGTGGGCAAGGGCAAGGCCAGCCGTCCCTATGTTCATCTGAAAAAAGCCCAGAAATTCCTGAATGAAACCCATAGCATAACCCTGGCCAAGGATCCCAAGCTGGCCTTGATTGTGTCCATTTGGCGGGCGGAACGTGGCATCCTGCTGCTACGTGCTTTTCGCGGCATCTCGTCAAAAGATGCGCAAACACGTGAGGCGGCTATTATCGATGCTCTGGGTATGAATCACCTGACCAATCGCCGCCTGGGAGCCTATTGTTCTGGTCCAGCGAGAAGCGAATTCACACGAAGAGAGCAAAGGTACCTGGGAATAGCTTTGCTCTACAAGCTGATGCTGAAATTTCTGGCAAGCGAGGAAAGAGAAATTTATCCCCTGCAAAATAAAGCTGCCATGGCAGCCTAAATATATTTTTAAATACAGAAAAACTGTAACCTTTCGTTTTTACTTTTTAATTTTCCTTCCCAGGTCTATGCCATTAGTGAGCGTCTGAGTCTTCCCTGTCCACCAAGTCTAGATCGTGGCGGCAAATACGACTTCTCCCATGTCCTGGACTTCTGCACTCAGCTGGTGGCCTTGGTAGTGACTCCTGTTAAGGACAATGCCAGCTATGCGCAGGACTACAACACAGTGGACGTGCCAATTGGACGGAGCAATATCATTCCCAACAGACTCAACTTTAACCTGAATGCCTTTCGCAATCTCAAAACCCTGCGTTTCTCCGCCCTGTCCACCGAGAACATTGCCGACATTGAGCTGCTGAAGCCCACGCTCCAGACAATCTGTGTCCACAACACCACCATCCAGAATATAAACCAGGTTCTGCTCTGCGACAATCTGCACAAGCACTGCGATGTGCCCAGTCTTCTACCGGAGACCATTGCTGCCAGTTCCAGTTCTTCCATCTCGAATGGCGGCAGTGCTTTGGTCACGGCGGATGCCTGGAAAGAGCTAACCGAACTGGACTTGACGGGCAATCTGCTGACCCAAATCGATGGCAGTGTGAGAACAGCCCCGAAGCTGCGGCGCCTTGTCCTAGAACAGAATCGCATAAGGTCTGTGCAAAACCTGGCGGAGCTGCCTCATCTGCAGTTGCTGTCGCTGTCGGGGAATCTCATAGCCGAGTGCGTGGACTGGCATTTGACGATGGGAAATCTTGTGACGCTGAAGCTGGCCCAGAACAAACTAAAGACCTTAAATGGTCTGCGGAAGCTGCTGTCGCTGGTCAACCTGGATTTGAGCTCCAATCAGATTGAGGATCTAGATGAGGTTGATTACGTGGCCAATCTTCCTTTGCTGGAGACTTTGAGGCTCACGGGAAATCCCCTGGCGGGAAGTGTGGGTGAGTTATCATCATAACGTTATTTTAATAAATTATATATAATAATTGTTTCAACGCGAAGACTATCGTGCCCGCGTCTTGGCCCGCTTTCACGAACGCGCTGCTGAAATCTCGCTGGACAATGAGCCTGGCAATCAGCAGGAACTGGACACCGCCCTGGTTTTATCGGCCCTGCTGCAGTCCAAGCAACGACAGCTACAGAAATGACCTATGTCTTGATTCCATTCACAAATCTCCAATTGATTAACAAACATTTCGTATATGATATTTTCTGTATTCCTAAATTATTTTAATGTGTTTATCAACCTTGTTTATATATGTTTTTAATTGTCCACCCGATGTGCAATAATGCAATGCTCACCTCGAAAATGAATAGTTAAGTAAATTAAATAAATTCCATGTACTATATAACCTGACAAAAGACTGGCCTCAATTTGTGCTGTTATTTAGATTTTGGATAAGGCCTCGATTTTGATTGTTCCAATTAAACGGCCGCCTTATAAGACGAATGCCAGGATTCCAACTAAACAAACCGTAGCTAACCACCATGAGCCAAGTAGTGGGCTTTCTGTTGGTGCTTCTGCTCACTCCTGTCCATCTACAGCATGTGCGAGGTGGCCACAACTTGACTTTCCTTAAATCTGTGCTTTCAAACATCGCCCAACGGGAGCATTGGCGGAATACCCCCATCTTTGTGGGTCACAACACCAACCAGGATGACCTCAATAGCCTGATGATGTGGCTGCAGCACAGCCTGGCAGTAACCTGCCATACGGTAGACACCTCCATTCCTGCCCACAAGCAACAGCCTCTTGGCCAGTACAACATCAATGCGGACAATGCAGTGAGTCTCCTCTTCTGCCAGAGCTCCCAGGAGATCATCTGGTTTTATCTGGACAAGAGCCTGCGGCGGCTGCGTCGGATTCGATTGATCGTTGTGCTGCCCAATGGAAGAAGTGGATCCTTCAAAGCTCTGAATGCCATATTCCAGCAGCTGTGGCACTTTCAGTTTCTCAACGTCCTGGTTCTGCACAAGGATCAGGCTTACTCCTACACACCCTATCCCAAAGTAAGCTTCTACAAGTTGGACATCAATGGGTATCCACTCTTCCCGCCTTTCACGCAGGACTTCCAGGGATATGTAGTGTCCACTCCAGTGGAGAATGACATACCGCGTGTGTTTGTTTTGAAAGATCAAAAGTCAGGCTGCAGACAGGTGAGGGGATTCGGTTATCGCACCTTCGTGGAGTACCTCCAACGCCACAATGCCTCGCTGTATGTGACCAATCCGAACCAGGAACTGAGCACCACCAGTAGCGTGAATATGGGACGGATGATCCAGCAGATAATGGATGGCCACCTGGAGATCTCGCTGCATCCGTATGTGGATGTGCCGGAGAATATGGGAGATCACAGCTATCCCCTGCTGGTGGCCACCAATTGCCTGATAGTTCCGGTCAGAAACGAGATTCCCCGCTACATGTATCTCCTGCTGCCCCTGAACCAGTGGAGTTGGCTGCTTCTCCTCGGAGCGGTGATCTACATCAGTGGGATTCTCTACTGGGTTCAGCCTGGCGGGGAATTTCTTGCTTGGGATCAGCGAGTTGGATTGAACCTTCTAGACAGCATCAGCCGCATGCTGTACATCTGCTCCCCGGCAAGGATCTACAGGCCAACGGTAAGGTACTTTGCCATTTCGTTTCAACTCACCATCCTGGGATTCGTGGTGACCAACCTGTACAGCATTCAGTTGGGCAGTTTCTTCACCACTTTGGTGGTGGGCGAGCAGGTGGACAGCATGGAGCAGCTGATCGAGCAGCAGCAAGAGGTCCTGGTCAAACACTACGAAGTGAGCACTCTGCTGCGCCATGTGGAGCCCCATTTGGTGGACAGAGTGGCCCGCCTCTTGGTGGGCGTCAATGCCAGCGAGCAGGTGTCCGCCCTGCTAAGCTTCAATCGCAGCTACGCCTATCCCTTCACCCTGGAACGCTGGGAGTTCTTCTCCCTCCAGCAGCAGTACGCCTTTAAGCCCATCTTTCGGTTCTCCTCGGCTTGCCTCGGTTCCCCGATCATTGGTTATCCCATGAGGAGTGACTGCCACCTGCAGTGGTCCCTCAACATATTCATCATGAGGATCCAGGCCGCCGGACTGCTGCAGCATTGGTTTGTCTCCGACTTCAATGATGCCCTGCGAGCCGGTTATGTTCGGCTCCTGGATAATGTCCTGGGATTTCAATCACTGGATGTGGGCGCCCTGTACCTGGGTTGGTCCGTCCTTGGATGTGGCTGGCTACTGTCAGCTTTGATTTTCTGTTGCGAACGATGGCGGTTTTACCATCGACATTAAAATTTTTAATATAAATATTTAAAAAGCTTTGTTCTTTATTTACTGGGTGTGGCTAGATGATCATCACAGGCAAGGGAGAACCAGGGTTTGAGGTTTTAAAACCAGTATTTCACTAATTTGTACTGGGAAAAGCATTTTTATACGTTTCCGACCCCATAAAGTATATATATTCTTGATTGAGTCGATCTAGCCATGTCCGTCTGTCCGTCTGTCCATCTGTCCGTCTGTCTGTTTCTACGCAAACTAGTCCTTCAGTTTTAAAGCTATCTGAATGAAACTTTGCATATAGTCTTCTATATACTCTCACTGCTATATATGTATGTCGGAACGGGCCGGATCGGACGACTATATCATATAGCTGCCATACAAATGTTCGATAAATTTTTAGAAAAATTATTATAACTTTGCTGTTTTTCAACATTTTTGCACAATTTTATATTATTCCATTTTATATTATTTCAGAATTTTGGTACAAATTTTATGAAAATCGGATTTGTTGTTTTTTGTGTTTTTGGGTGGGATAATTTTATACAGGCTCAATAAAAGGGCATTCTTGCGGTGGACAATGAAAAAAACATCAAATATTGCAAAATTGCTAGATCAGCATCACTGGCAGTTAGTGAGATGCCATTTTGCCTAAATAATGCAAAATAACTAGATGAGCATCACTGACAGTTAGTGAGAAATAAATGCAAAAAATTCAAAATAGCTAGATGAGCTCTTTGGCAGTTAGTAAGATGCCATTCTGTCCCAATAATGCAAAATAGCTAGATGAGCATCACTGGCAGTTAGTGAGATTCCATTTTGTCCCAATAATGCAAAATAGCTAGATGAGCATCACTGGCAGTTAGTGAGATGCCATTTTGTCCCAATAATGCAAAATAGCTAGATGAGCATCACTGGCAGTTAGTGAGATGCCATTTTGTCCCAATAATGCAAAATAGCTAGATGAGCATCACTGGCAGTTAGTGAGATTCCATTTTGTCCCAATAATGCAAAATAGCTAGATGAGCATCACTGGCAGTTAGTGAGATGCCATTTTGTCCCAATAATGCAAAATAGCTAGATGAGCATCACTGGCAGTTAGTGAGATTCCATTTTGTCCCAATAATGCAAAATAGCTAGATGAGCATCACTGGCAGTTAGTGAGATTCCATTTTGTCCCAATAATGCAAAATAGCTAGATGAGCATCACTGGCAGTTAGTGAGATGCCATTTTGTCCCAATAATGCAAAATAGCTAGATGAGCATCACTGGCAGTTAGTGAGATGCCTTTTTGTCCCAATAATGCAAAATAGCTAGATGAGCATCACTGGCAGTTAGTGAGATGCCTTTTTGTCCCAATAATGCAAAATAGCTAGATGAGCATCACTGGCAGTTAGTGAGATGCCATTTTGTCCCAATAATGCAAAATAGCTAGATGAGCATCACTGGCATTTGGTGAGATTCCATTTTGTCCCAATAATGCAAAATAGCTAGATGAGCATCACTGGCAGTTAGTGAGATTCCTTTTTGTCCCAATAATGCAAAATAGCTAGATGAGCATCACTGGCAGTTAGAGAGTTGCCATTTTGTCCCAGTAATGCAAAATAGCTAGATGAGCATCACTGGCAGTTAGAGAGATGCATTTTGTCCCAATAGAGCATCACAGATGCAGTTGAGCATCACTGATGGAAGTGAGCATCACTGATGGAAGTGCATCACTGTTGGAAGTGAGCATCACTGATGGAAGTGAGCATCACTGTTGGAAGTGAGCATCACTGTTGGAAGTGAGCATCACTGATGGAAGTGAGCATCACTGATGGAAGTCAGCAAAACTTTTCATTCAAATTGGCCGCTTTCCAAACTGGGGTAACAGGCGAACAGAAACCAGCAGCAAGCAACTGAAAACTGGTATAAACTGTTATAAAAACATTTGGGCAAAAATAATAATTGGTATAAACTGTTATATTTCATTTTATACATTTATACCTATTTGTTGCCGACAACAACAGTTTATGGCAACAACAACCTTTTTACAACAACATCCCTACAGCAGCCCATCCAAATTTCCGAACATTTCGAAGCAAATTGCCCGTTTCCCAAATTGGGGTAACAGGCGAACAGAAATCAGCAGCAAGCTGCTGAAAACTGGTATAAACTGTTATAAAATGTCCAAGTTCCAAACCATTTAGGAGTCGGCGCAAGTTAGTGGAGACTCAAACCTTTTGAATCCAAATTTAGTTGTTATTTTCAACTGCACCTGGGCACACTGAAACTGATCGTCGTTAAATTCAAATTCGGCAGTCAAATTCAAATTTGGCAGTTAAATTCAAATTCAAATTTGGCAGTTAAAATATTTAAAAAAAATTTGTTTAATTCTAAAAAAAATTCTTAAATAAATATAAAAAATCTAAAAAATGTTAAAAATTCAGAAAAAAAATTTTTAAAATTCAGAAACATTTTAAAAATTTAGAACAATTTTTTAAAAATTTAGAAGAATTGTAAAACATCCGAAAAAAATGTTTAAAATTCAGAAAACAAATTTAAAAATTTAGATTTTGATTTCAAAATAATTAGATTTTTCCCCAAACGATCCCAAATAAATGCCCCCTTCACAAAAAAAAGGCACATTGATTTCACCATTATTTATTGATTCATATTTGTGTGTTCCATCAATTATATTTACATATTTAAATTGCATTTATAAATATTTTAATTATTTACGCCTGCTGCAGGGTTTTAACTAGCCCGGAGCCAAGATCCGATCACCGTCCTCCACTGCCATCGGGTTGAGATCTGTCATCCCAGCTGCTCGCTCCTTCCAGCTTTTTAATATAAAAAATCCGATTTTATAATACAAAATAATATTTTTCTAGTCAAGGAATCATTTCCGACCCCATAAACCACATATATTCTTGATCAGTATCAACAGGGGAATCTTTCTAGACATGTCCGGAAGAAATCGATTTTTTTGCCATTTTTGCGAAATTTGATAAGGGGTTACATCATTAAAATTAGCAAAAATGGCCCAAAATTTTGATTTCCTAAAATTTATATTTAGGTAAACAGTTTTTTTAAACTAATAAAAACTAACACAAAACTGCTTTCCGAATCGAAATTAATGCATTTTTGGCTTAGTTATGATATATTTTAATTGTTACCTGCAAGGGTATACAAACTTTGGCTGGCCAAAGTTAGCTTTCTTTCTTGTTTAGGAATGGAAACTTGCCGATTGTCTTAATTAGCAAAGCTTATAATTAATATTAGCTTCCCTTATCCTTTAAGGAAAATGTGTAATTGCACATAATTAGCCGCTATAAAAGAACCTTTAATAACCCTATTATTGCTTGCTTAGATTGAGCCACTTAAAGCAATCACAGCTACTTGTTATTTAATCAATTTAATGACCCTCTTCCCCTTCCATCCCAAAGAAAACATCAACTTTAAGGACATGTAGATGTTGTTTATTAAACTTAAAATGTTTGCGTCATTTACAAATGAATTTCTTTCCAATATATACGTGAAGTGTTATGCTTTATAGATACTTTAAGTGTTTAATAAGAGAACCCCATGGCGGAGGATATATCGCTGTCTCCGAGGACTTTTGATTATCCGGATATAGTCAACCTCTGTTCCATTGAGATTTCGTTTGTTAAATTTACATTTTAAAGCGCATCCATCGACTGTTATCGTAGTTAATTATTGTACGAATCCTGGGATAATGTTTTTATAAAAATTTCAAATACGAAACCCAACTCACCTCCTGGCAGCTAGTAGTTCTGCCAGTGCAGAGTGTAGTCGCGCGACTTGAGCTTGCCAGGCGGCTTGTATCATTGCGGGTGATGGTGGTGCTGGTGCTGGGCGTGGTAGTGCTGCTGCTCGGCAGCGGCCACGGCATCGAACATGGGCGTGTGCACCTCGCCCAGAAACTGGGGCGTGGGCGGGGCATTCGGCTCGGACAGTTCCCCGATCAGAGGCATGTCAATGTCGGTGGCCAGGGTGCTCTGGCCGTAGCTGCTCAAACCGTAGGGTTGCTGCTGCTGCTGCTGGTGCTGCTGCACCACCGAAACGTGTGCATAGTCTGGAGTGGACTGCACCTGCTGCTGCTGTTGCTGCTGCTGGGGATCCAGGATGACGGGTGCCGCCTCCATTTCCCCAAACTGTATGGGCCCAGGCTGCTGGTGCACGGGCAGACCCTGGTGAACGGGCAGACTCTGCACGGGCTCATCCACTGGCGCCGATAGGTACTCCGGCTGCAGCTCCGACTGGGGCTCAACGCGAGGCTGCTCATGCATCTGCTGGTCCTGGACATGGTGCTCCGACACCTGCTGCAGTTGCTGATCCTGATCCGACGGCGGCAGTATGTCGCTGTTCTGGTCAGCCGAATCCACAGTTTCGCTTAGATCAGCACCCTCGCCAGAGGTGTCGCCATCGCGTCGCACTAGGCCCAACATGTCCAGCATATTGCGCTTGACGGCATTCTCGCTGGCGGCCTCCAGGCTGGGATAGCAGGTGCTGAGGCCGCAGTTGGCCAGATGCTGGGCCATCTTGTTGCCATTGCCAGTGGCAAAGCCGCAGATGCAGTGCATCTCCTGCGGCATATTCACCTCCATGGCGTCCACAAAGTTGCCATTGCAATCCACGCCGTGACGGAACTGGGCCCGCTCGCAGCAGGTCTGGTAATTGCACTTGACGCAGTGCAGCCATCCCCTGGAAATGGTCAAGAGAAAAGTGGAAATAGCTAATTAAATCCCTTTCTACTAGCAGAGGAAGCATTATATGCTGAGGTAATGCCGCGATAAGAAATCTATTGGTACGCATTAAAGCAATTATCTGGTTTGGTGCCTTATAAACCACATTCCTGGGCTACCTCCCTTCAGAAGCGAATCAACAACCACCATGTTCAAGGTGCTTATAACTCTGTTCCTGCTCTTTTCTGCGGAGCCCACAAGGGGCACTTATAACATAACCCTGCTAAAGTCGATTCTGAGCAGCTTGGCCAGTTGCCCGGAGCAAATGCAGTGGACCAACACACCCATCTTCATGGGACACCACACGAAAAGCTTTGAAATGAACAGCCTCATTTCCTGGCTACATCAGGACCTGGGCGTTACGAGTCTAGCCATGGATGCAGTCCTCCAACCCGAACAGCAGAGATCTCTGGGTCACTTCAATGTGACCAGGGACAATGCCATTAGCTTGTTCTTTTGCCACGGCAGCCAGGACATTTTGTGGTATTCCCTGGACGTGAGTCTGCGCAAGTTGCGCCGCAGTCGCCTAATAGTTCTGCTGCGTTCCCAGCGCAGCGGCTCCCACAAGGCTTTGTATAACATATTCAAGAGGCTTTGGAGTCTACAGTTCCTGAACGTGTTGGTCCTGCACAAGGATAACATTTACTCTTACACCCCTTATCCAAGGATAAGCTTCTTCAAGCTAAACATCACCAGAGAACCGCTCTTTTCACCTGCCGCAAGAGACTTTCAGGGCTATGTGGTATCCACGCCCGTGGAAAATGATATTCCGCGTGTGTTCCTGGTGCACAATCCTCTTACGGGTCGTAGGGAGATGCGTGGCTATGCCTATCGCACATTTGTGGAGTATTTGAGGCACCACAATGCCTCGCTACATGTGACCAATCCCAGCCAGGATCTAAGCCCCACAAACAGCGTGAATATGAGCCGCATTATGCAGCTCATTATGGATGGCCAACTGGAGATATCCGTGCATCCCTACATCAAAGCCCCCGAGGATTGGAGCGACAAGAGCTATCCCCTGGTCGTCTCTCCCAATTGCCTGATTGTTCCAGTGAGAAATGAGATACCGCGACACATGTACCTGCTAAGACCCCTCAGCCGCTGTGGATGGTACCTCCTCTTGGGAGGATTGATCTACATAAGCGCCGTGCTATATTGCCTGAGTTCTGAGGGCAGCAGCTGGGAGCAGCGCTTGGGCTTGAGCTTCCTGGAGTCTGTCAGCCGCCTCCTCTTCATCAGCTCACCCACTAGGACATACAGGCCTTCCTTGCGCTACTTTCTGGTCTCCCTGCAGCTGACCATCTTCGGATTCATCCTCACTAGTTGGTACAACATCCAGTTGGACAGCTTCCTCACAGCTCTGCTGGTGGGCGAGCAGGTGGACAGCATGGAGGAGCTGGTGCAGCAGCAGCAAAAAGTGCTGGTCAAGGAGTACGAAGTGAGTACTTTGCTGAGACATGTAGAGCCCCGCATGGTGGACAAGGTTTCTAGGCTTTTGGTGGGCGTCAATGCCAGCGAACAGGTCTCTGCCCTGCTAAGTTTCAATCGCAGCTACGCTTATCCTTTTACCCTGGAACGCTGGCAGTTCTTTGCCTTGCAGCAGCAGTACGCCTTCAAGCCCATCTTTCGCTTCTCCGATGCCTGCCTGGGATCCCCGCTCATCAGCTTTCCCATGCGGAGTGACTGCCACCTGGAGGCCACCATCAACATGTTCATCCTGAAGATTCAGGATGCGGGTTTGTTGCACCACTGGCTGATCTCGGACTTCAACGACGCCCTGCGCGCAGGCTATGTGCGTTTGCTGGGCAATGACCTGGGTTTCCAGGCCATTGATGTCAACACCTTGCGGCTAGGTTGGTTTGTGCTAGGCTTTGGCTGGCTGTTTTCATCCCTAACTTTTGCCTGCGAGTACTGGCACCTCTACTCCCTTCACTTTCGATAATAAATGCACCAAAACTTACGTGTAATGTGTCTCCTCGCTGGCGTAATCCGTGTTGCACTCAGCGCAGGTCTTGCCTTCGAGGAAGGCAAAGAAAACAGGCCGCTTGTAGGTGGAGAACGGTGGCTGTTCACGGTGATGGGTGCGCACCTTGGGCGGCGGTATAAGCAGCGAGTTGTTCAGGAGAAGACGCACCGGCTTGTTGGTCTTGGTCATGCTCACATGATGCTGAACGACGTGCTGCTTGAGGTCTCCCTTCTCCAGGAAGCTGAGCGAGCACTTTTGGCAGCGCAGCGAGCTGTCTTTCTTGTTGATGTGCTCGTCCAGGTGCATGAAGTAGTGTTCGATGCGCAGCGAGTTGATGGCACCGCGTTTCGAGAAGTAGAAAATCTGAAATAAAAGGAATCCCATCATTACCACTCATACCTCTGGAGACTTTCAAGACTATACTCACATCCAAGCAGTAGGGACACTGCAGGAAATTGTGGTTCTTGTGGTCATCGTAGTAGTGCCTAACCACATCCCGATGGGAGGACGAACGATAGCCGCAGGAGTGACACCAATAGGGCAACTCCAGGGTGCTATGCGCCTTCTGCAGATGGGCTGTGAGCAAGTGCAGCGAGTTGTGCCGCTGCTGGCAGATGAGACAGTAGTAGGAGGGTGACCCCTCCGTCTTGGTCTCAGTGGGATGCATAATCTGGTTGTGCTTGGCCAGCACCGACTCCGTGGGATGCTTCTCCAGGCAGAACAGGCACTGGAACTGATGCTGCTTGCCTTCGGGCGAGATGTGCGAGACCAAATGAGTCTGGAGCTTCTCGTTGGAATCGAAGGAGTCGCCGTTCAGGCAAATCGGACACTCCACCACCTTGGGCAGATTGTCGTGGGCGGTGCGGGGCGTGTTGTACGGGAACATCTCGTAGTACTCGTCCGTGCCATCGCTAATGCCATAATATAGCTCCTCCAGGCCCTTGAGCTCATCCTCCTCCTTCTTGATCACCACTGGCACCTTTTCATCTTTTTCTTTAAACTTTTTGGGTGTTATTTTGGCCGCTGCCAGAGCTGCCTTGGAAGATGCTGGACCATATGGCTTCGAGGTGGTGGCCTTGTCAGCCTTGGGCTGATTGGTACTGCCCGGAGGCCGTCCTGGTCCCTTCTTCACCGGCGGAACGCCAGTGGGCGTGGAATTCAACGAACCCGGCGGCCGGCCTCGCTTTACGCCACTTGGCAGGATATCCTTCTCGCGATCCTTCTCCTTCTTGGGCACCTTGCTGGAGATATTGTAGTCGGCATCGTTGATGGCTGGAAAAGAAAAGAACTCAATTTAGTTTAGAAACTCTTTTTCCTTAGGCCTTTGTGCGTTTACTCACTCCAAATTAAAAAAGGGTCAACGAAATCAAAACAAAAACATGGTTGTTAAATTTATTCTCGAGTTTATTTGGCTTTAAAATAAGTTAACACCAGGGGAACGCAGGAAGAATAAACTTAAAATGTAATGGAGAGCATGTGCTGCTGATCCATCGACCTGAGCTCAAAACGAAACAAAAAAAAATTCACTTTTGGAGTGAGAAACGCAGGCAGGCATTGGCTAAAACCGATTAATGGTAGGGAATTCTCCTAATCTATATAAAGGATTAATTGTGAACGAAACTACTAACGTTTCTTGAGGCGCTTGGGTGCGGCATTGGCCGGCGTTTCCTTGTAGTTGGCCGGCAGCACGCTCCAGTCTTTGAAGGGATTGGTGGCCACCTAAAGGAAGGATAAGTAATGTATTATTTCATCTCCTTGACCATGTTCCTTCTCTTTTCCCCCTCACCTGATACAGACGCTGCGTGATGGTCTCATTGGTGGTGACCCTCGTCTGCTCTGCTATGTGTATGATAATGTTATTAAAGGCCTGCAACGCGTATGTGCCAAAGGCCTCGCGCCAGACCAGCTCGTCCAGGAACTGCTGGATCATCTGGCGCGACAGCAGCGACAAGGTGTTCTGGAACATGCGTGGCACAATCCGTCGCAGGTACTCCATCACTGCCGAGTTGTTGTGCTTGGCCGTGTTGTCGGTGGCCGCTGCCTGGACAATATTCTTGAAGCCCATGCTGAACAGGGTGATCTTGTCCACGGTCAAGTCAATGCAAATGGTGCTGTCCTTGTGCACCCAGCGGGACAGTGGCTCCAAAATGGCCTGGAAGCGCTTCTTGTAGTTGCGATCGCCATCGGTAATGGGCTCCACGGCCCTCAAGCGAATGGATTTCTCTGCATAATCGTAGACACCCAGAACCTCAACCTTAACCTGACGCTGGGAGCCGTCTTGGGAGGTAGTGCCCAGGGAGATGACGCCCACCTAGGATGCGGGAATTATAATTAGATTCAGACTCTTTGCAGACTCAGCGCTTGCTTACCTCCACAAACTTGCCGGGACCGCCCAGCTTCTTGCACTTCTGATGCACCGCCAGAGTGCAAATGGCACGCAGCCAGGTGTAGATACCCTTGATGTACACGCTGTCCACCTTGACCCACTGCACCACGTTCTGGATGCTGGTCTGGCAGGCCCAGTGGTAGATCAGCTTCAGCAGGAATGTGGGCGGATGCTGGGCTCCCTCGAAGATGGAGTTGTTGAAGACAGAAACGAAGCGGTAGGGGCAGCATTCGCTAATCCAAACATAGCCGCCGGTATAGGGAAACTTGGTCACATCCGAGTAGATGCCTGGAACCACAAATTTCACGATTATCAAAGATTAGAGGGGGGAATTCTTGTCACACACCCAGTTTCAGCTCGTTGTTGCGGTGATTGATGCAGTGCTGCTGCGCCCGGAGCAGTCCCTCCTGGAGCAGCCACTCACAGAACTTGTTCGGCGTCAGCATCAGCACCAGCTTGACCTTAGAGTCCAGCTTGCTGCGCGTGGCCGCCATATCCTTGATCTTGAGGAACGGCTTGGCCAGCACAACCAGCGAGGGATAGGTTTTGCCCTGCATTTTGTTGTCCTTGGTCTCCTTGCCGTCTTTGCTGTCCTTGCTCTCGTCGCTGCTGCCCACCACCAGGCCACCCACGGAGTTGACCTCGGCCGGGCGATAGTTCTTAGGCGGCGACTCGCCGCCCTCCATCTTGGACTCCTTGGAAGATTTACCGCTCGAGAAGGAGCTCTTCTTGCTCTCCTTGAGCTGGGGCGATGCCTTGCCGGAGGGGGACGAGGCAGAAGCTCTCTTGCCCAGTTTGGGACTCGAGGCGGAGGACGCATTGCCCGCAGCCACTGCCTTTTTGCCTGCCGACAGTGCCAGGCGCTTGGCCAGCGGCACATCGTCGTCGCCCTCGTCAGAGGACTCCAAATAGGCAATGTTGGAACTGTTGTTGTTGTTGTTGCTGGCGGGACTGGAGCGCGGCGGACGACCACGGCCCCGCCCCGTACCAGAGGCAGGGGTGCTGGGCGCGGGAGGGGGGTCGGCCGCCTTGGGCGGCTTCTTCGGCAGCGTGGCCTCCTTGAGGTCCTGCAGCACCTTGCCCTTGAAGGAGTAGGCCTGGAAGACCTGGCCGTTGAACAGCTCCTTGCCCTCGTTGGCGCTCACGGCGTTCTTCAGCGCACCCTTTACCGCGTTATGCTCGTTGGTGATTTTCTCATAGTACGCCAACTGAGCCGGCGACAGCTCCTCCACCCAGATCTCCATGTCCAGGGAGATCTCGCTCCTCGTTACGCGCGTCATCTTGAGGCTTCACTTAAATGCGTCCGCGGGACCCAGCAATTGGGTTTTTTTCAATCAATTTGACGCCGTACAAACAATTCTTTCTCCGTTTTTTCTTTTGAAATATTTTTGGCGTGGATGTACCTGTATTTAGGGTTGCTATCGATATTTTAGTGTGCCCAGATGAAATTGAAATTTCCCCCTAAAAATCCACACTTTATATTCGATTAAAAAATACTAGTAAAATCGTGATTTACCATCGATAACTCGATGTTCCTGGATCGTTTATCGATAACGGCTGGCCAGTCCTGCAAATAACCGCGTTATTTAAATTTAAATTTCTTTTGGAATTAGCAATTGGGGCACGTGGCTCAGTAATTAAAACCTTGAAAATTGTCATAAAATAAAAACGAACAATTTAATTATAAAAAGTGCTTAAACCAATCAGTTTCAGCATCTTATATTTTTCTATATACCATTTAATTTGTATTTAATGGCATTAGTTTTGCCTTAAACCTATTATATAACTCTCTATTCTCGGGCTCACGTGGGTTAAAACCTTTTTTCGTTGTTTAGTCACGCTGAAGTATCACTCATTAAGTTTTAATTTATGACCACTTGTAAATTATCGGATCATTAGCCACCAAAAGCCCCGATTAGACAGTGACAAGTACTGTTTTTCTTGTTTTTAGTATCACAATGGTAATTTGCTTTATTTGCAGCGCATGCTTATGCGTTCAGAATGTCATCGATGACCCGGTCGTAAAGTATTTCCTTTACGTTCAATCCCCACAGGAAATCTATGTGGTTCCATTTCTCCTCCGGCAGACGATAGGCACTCCTCAAGGCCTTCGGGTCCATGTAGTAGCGTAGCTTGTCCACGTCAATCAGGCTGGCGAAGTAATCATTGTCGCTGTAATAGAGGTAAGTGGGGACGTCGATGCTCTCTACATCGTACTCCGGCGGGGTCTTGATGCCGTACTCCTTCTTGTTGCGCGAGGAGCCGTAGTCAAACTGACGGAAATAGCCGGAGTTGTACTCCTGCAGGTAGTGGAAGATCTGGTTCACCGAGCAGCCGGCTGGAGTAGTGGCCATTATCTCGGGAAGGAGGGTTTCATTGATGTACGGGGAGCCCCAGCCGCCGAGGAGGAACAAGGTGTTGGTGCAAATCGCCTGGGAAATGGCTTGATCGTGGCACATTAGGGCACCGAACATGTTCATTAGCTGCGTGTTGGGCAGGAACTCGGCGCTGCCGAATACCTCCACGAAGGCATTGGGCTGTCCCAGCAGTGGTCCGCCCACCGTGGCCAATGGACTCTCCATGTGCTCCATCCAGGCCACGGGGGCCAGCAAGTGAGCCGAGCTAAAGCGGCTCTTGAAGCGCGGGATATTGGTATTCAGCACAAAGAAGCTAGTGGTGCCCTGGGAGTGGCCAATGTATGTCACATTTTCGACACCGGTCTTGTAGATGACATTGTCTATCATGGCGGGCAGGTCGTAGATGCCAATATCGTGCCACTCGAAGTTCCAGAAGGGCTGCAGCAGCGGCGACTTGGTGGCGTGCTTCTTGGAGTAGGTGTTTCCTCGGGCATTGCCCATCCACACGTCAAAGCCCTGCTCGGAGAGCAGGTAGGCCAGTCCACTGTGAGGTCCTGCGAGCACCCAGTCCGAGGAGGAGCACAAGAGACCGTGCATCAGAAAGGCCACAGGACGGCGGCCATCGGGACCGGTATTCTTGGAGTAAGGAATGCGGTGCATGGTCAGGATATAACCATCCGAGGTCTGCACCTGGTGCTCCTCGATATCATAGCCATGTCCCTTGACAATGGACACCTGAGAATTAAAGAGAGAATTAGGATTAGTAAGGATATTCAGGATCCTCCATAACCTTAAACTCACCGTTGTCACTGAACTCGAGCGTCCTGCATCGGCCGGCAGGGCCACAGCCAGTCCCAGACTCAGGAGCCCCGCAATTAATGGAAGGAGTAACATTTTTTATTCGCGTTTGCAGGTGCTTTGACCATTGACTTGGCCGCCCGTGCCTTTTATATGCCCCCCAGGAACTTGATAAGGAGTCTTAGATTCGGCCACCAAATTTATGGGTGTTTATTTTTGCCCCCAAACGTCGTTTCATTCGCCAAGACTGATAGATCGTATGGGAACTCCAAGTCCAGGTGATTTAACTGGCTGGCGGTAAGCGGTGGCGATAAGGCCTATCGTTGAATGAATCTTGATAGCTTCTGATTGCGTATAATTGCCATGAATTCGGGAGAAATCAGTATTTCCTGTGTTTACTATTCGAGTTCTGTTGAACTTACCAACAAACTGGGAATCCTAAAAGTTAAATACTGACCTCACCTTTCTTTTAAACAATTGTTAATCACTGAAAGGATATTTTACTGGGTAACTAAACGGGAAAAGTTAAATTTAAAAATAAAAAAAGCTGGACATTTTAAAACATATTTATTAAATTGTAATTGCTTCAGTTCAATATAATTTCTCCGTTTTAAAAAGCAACGGTCTTGAATTCAAATTCTTATCGATAGTGATGGAAGCTCGATGTTTTTAAAATAAAACATCGACAAAATCGATTGGCACAACACTCGGTTGCTCATCCCTAAAATTTGTGTTGTTTTATTTAGAATTTTGTCTTTTTAATATAATTAATTATAATGCGCGACCGCGAACGCCGCGACAGAGATAGGGATAGGGACAGAGACCGGGAGCGAGAGCGTGACAGAGACAGAGATCGGGACCGGGACAGGCGCTACCGGTCGAAGTCCCCCGCCAGGAGCAGCCGGCAGAGCTCCAAGTCGAAGAAGAAAAAGTCCAAGAAATCGAAAAAGTACTCGAGAAGGAGTCGCAGCAGCAGCCGCAGTTCCTCGCGCAGCTCGACGCCCAGCAGCCGAAGCAGCTCCCGCAGCCGGCACAGCAAGAGCAGGAGCCGGGACCAAAACAAATCCCGCTCCGCATCCCAGAAGAAGACAAGGGCTCCCAGCTCCGAGAGTAACTCCAGATCGGCGCCCACACCTGCCAGCCAGCCAGCCAAGGCCATCGATCTGCTGGATGCCAAGGTGCAAAAGGCTCTGGAGACCATAGACGAGGATTGCTTCAAGCCGGCTTCCTTCTTCAGCTCACGCGATAGGGAGGCCTCGGAGAAGGTGATCATTGACCTGAACAGCGAGACGGTCACGGTGCCCAACAAGCCAACAGTCGCAGTCCAAAACGAAGATGTAATATTCCATCCGAACGTGAGTTGGTTGCTTTGCTTTTTCCCATTTTCCTGCTAATCCTTCGATTCCTTTACCAGTTTCTTGGCGACCCAGATCTCAAGGCGGAAAAGTGGCTGCGCAAGCTTTACAACTACCGCCAGAAGTACATGCAGGAGTAGTCTAGTTCAGACTCTGTATTTAAGAAACAATAAACCTACAACGCTTAGAATATATCGCTGCCCGTCTTTCGTGCACGCTGCAATGCCTCAGTGGAGCTCAGTTGCTCGTTGGCTGACGGCTCCTTCGGACTGCCGTCCGCCTGGAGGGTGCCCGCCTTGAAGTCCTCGATTATCTTCTGCGAGTAGACGGCATTGAACAGATCCAGGCTGGTGAACTCGGATTGCACGACCTCCGGCGCCTTGTAGGAGACGTATGGCTTCAGCTTGCAGCCGGTGAGATCGGGCACAATGAGTTCAGGGATTTTCTCGGGAATCTCCACGTACTCTCCGTCCACCACGATGCCCGTATCTCGTACTCCGCGCTTGTGGATGGCCACCGGCGGCTGGGCCAATGTTTTCTGCGCCTCCTTCACCACGCGCGTTCCTCGCTTGTTGTACACGTTGAATTTCCGGAAGTTCCGCTTGCCCGCCAGAGCGGAGGATGTGGTGATGGTCCTCTGCTGGCACCTGAGAGCCATCGGCACCAGTTTAATACAATTATTCATTGTTATTTTCCTGTTTTTTTGGCGAGGGAAATGGAGCTGGTTAAATAACAAATCGAAAACAGCTGTTTTCTAGAGGTAGCAATGCTGTTATCGATAAGACCTATCGTTGATTTAAATGAAAACTTGTCAGTTTTAATACTAGACAAAATCTATTTTTATTTATTTCTTCAATTGTATAAAATACTGGGAATTAAAATTAAAATTTTTGTGATTCCAAGTCCATTGATTTTAGTGTCTTTTAAGTGCAGAGGACTGCAATCTCTATAAATTTCGATAACAACCGTTAGTGTTGAAAATCACCGTTTTAAACAGTGCCTGAAAACTCCGGCTAATTTACAAATTGTACATTGAAATATTAGTTTTTGTACCATGTCTGCGCCGGCCACGGAGGAGGAATCGGCGGAGAGTGCCGCGGAGCACGACTCCACCGAACTGAAGAGCTCGGAGGAGGTGGAGGCCTGCGAACGGAGGCAGTTGCTCCAGTACGTGGAAAAGCTACACGGAGTAATCCGTAAATGCGACAAAAAACTGGCGGCCTATAAACAAAAGCTGAGATTCTTTGTGAGCGCCACAGCAGAGTCTGTTGAAATCCTTTATTAATCCCAGTTTCGTTTTTGAAATAAAGCTTACCCAAGATGAGAAGAGTTTCCGCGACAAAGCCATGCAGACCTCCGAAACGGACTTCCAGGAAATCCGGAATTCCATCGAAAGAGAAGCAGAGGAGACCGGCGAGATGAAGGAGCCAAATGAAAAAGCCAGCGAATGTGAGTCAAGAGTTTCTTTATTCCAACGCTAGTTGCTAGTTCCTACTTCGATTTACTGGCCACCGCGGCCACCAGCGCTGCTCCTCGACCCGAACCGTCCTCGGACAGCATAATGTCCCACTCCTTGTCCGCCTTGACCAGCTTCTGCAGGATCTGGCGCATGTAGGAATCGAATTTCGGGTGGTATCTGTACACAGAGCCGTCCATGCCGACCACAACGCGGCGGTTGGAAGTCCTGTTGACGAGACCGCTCACCCCGATGGCCACAAGAGTGGCCGCCCGCTTGGCCACGCACTCGCAGATGTACTTTAGCGTGTGGCAGTCCTCCACGGAGGCCTTTTCCAGGCCGAACAGCTGCTTCACTATCTTCCGGGTGCTGGCGAACTCGGGGAATGTGTCGGCCTCTATTTCGGATATATAGCGCGTCTCGAAGACATCCGGGTTCTTCTGCAGGACAGTGGCGAACTCCGGCCGGCGGCTGGTCAGCTTAAAGATGAGCTTCCGCTCGAGAGCACGCAGCAGGACAAGGCGCACCAGGTTTCCCAGGTACATGCCGGCCGTCATCTTCTCGAAGAGCTGCTCCGACCGGTTGATCGACTTCTCGTCCACCTCGCGATCGTACTCGGTGCGCACAAAGTCCAGCTGCCCTCCGTCGCCGAAGGCTCCCCACTCGGCATTCACGATCACCTGGCGCTTGGTCCGCTTGAAGTCCGCGTTCAGGAGGTCCACATTTTCCACATCCTCCACGTAGCAGGCATTGCAGCCGGTGCCGACGATGACGCCTACGCGACAGTCGGGATTGCGGTGGGCGCAGGACATGAGGGTGCCGGTGGTGTCGTTGAGAATGGCCACCACAGCGATGTCAGCGTCCCCGCGTCGCTGGATGGCCTCGTGCAACATGCGACCCACATCCTCGCCCACGGCCCCGGAGCAGTCAAAGCCCTTGGTCCAGCGCACCAGGATGCCCTCTTTGAGGCCCAGCTGCACGCAGGGAAAGGAGAAGGTGAAGCCCAGGGGCAGGTAGGCGGTCTTCATGTCGTGCTTCTCCACAAACCTGGCCAGACAATCGGCAATGTGATCAAAAAGCTCCACGCCCGCACCCAACATCAGGTCCTTGGGCACGGCATAGATCTGAGACACCACCGTGGCGTCGTGGTGACCTTTTAGGGAGACGAGCAACACCCGGAAGTTGGTGCCGCCGAGATCGAGGGCCAGGAACTTGCCCATCTCATCGCCCGTGGGCAGGTCCTGCACGTACGTGGGGAAGCACTTGACGTTGGCCTGCGGGTGGGTGGAGCGCTTCAAGCCCCGGGCCACCTCCAGGCAGAAGCGACTGTACACCTCCTGCACCTGGTAATCGCTCAGCACAAAGGCTTGCATAAGTTCTCGCACCTCCGCGTCCAGCATTTTGCTTGGCTAATCTCTGGCTGTTGGTTGTCTTGGTTGTAATACCGCTTGCCTCGAACGGTGAGTAACGACTAACCAGGCGCCTTGGAATTGCACTACTAGGTGGTGATGGTGCTGGTGCTGGAACTGGTGGCTGATAAGAGCCGCCCCGTTGGATGCAGTGGAAACAACTGCTGCCGCTGCATTCCGGGGGCGCTGCGTAGCAAATTAAAAACGAAAACACACCTAAGTAGCGGGCTGTGATTTGCTGATTGTAAATCCGAAACTACAAACTGCGCGATATGCTAATCGCTCGAGTCCCCAAGATGCTCTTGTCAATTGCTGGCAATAGCTCCTGATTTGCCACCCTGCTAAATAATTGGAATTTAAGCAGAGATGGATGTTGGGTCTATATTTTTTATAGTAAGGATTTGCTTAGATTTTCTTTATCTTAAGTCATTAATTAGGTAGATTAATAATAGGGCCTGGCCACTGAATGACCAGCTGGGAGAACGGCAATTAAAATTAACTGAATATTAATAAATGAACTCGTTAAAATTAGAATGTAAGAGTTAAAAAAATGGGAATCCTTTCGGCGTATCTGTTTTGTTTATGTAAATATTCCTTTCCAGTTCATCAGAAGATAAACTGAGCCTTTGGTAAACCCTTTTCGTTCAGTTTTAGCACATTAATGATCGTGTTTGCGATCATTTTATGATAAATGGATGTTATTGGCTCGCAAATAATTAATATTTGAGCTTTAGAAATTGAAAAGACAGTGTTTCGTTGTTAGTTTTATGGGTTTTGGATCTCAAAAGATAGTCCTTACACATTTAAGCTTTGCATAAGTCTTGTTAGCGATATAAATCATAAAATTCTGGTCCATAAAGTTTTCTCTTTTTAAGTTTTCTCGTACTCTAGAAAATCCAAAATTTTTCTTAGGGTATTTACAATTCGTTTGCGGAAATGACAAGGCCATATTTCACTTTTCGACCTGCTGGGAACCATATCGAAGACAATAAAAGTCATAAACTATCAGTTTGTCTGTGTGAGGTGCACCACGCCTCCTGACCGCTATCGTGGCGATAACGTCGTTCCAAGGAGCGAATCTTTCACGTGTCGCTGGCCCACCCACAGCTCTAGATCTATATATAGAGGGAGGAGTATCAATGGGGTCTCAGGTCGGGGTAATAAAGCGTGCGTCAAACATTCCAGCTCGCTAATCCCGGAGAGATTAGCGCCAGAATGTCGCACGGGCTAGCGCCACCAATGATCAGCACGACAAGCCCTTGACACGGAACAGAACGTATAGCTGATGATTGCGCAAGAAAGCGGACAGGATGTGGGCTTTATGAACCTTTGACTTGACCGGAAATACGTATCCAAATGTAATCTTAATTGTAACATTTTATAAGTAGATAATATTACTAGTTTTGTTAGTTTATGATCTTAGTAGAATGAATATAGCAATAGCAAAGCCATAACTGAATTAATAGTTGTTTATACTATTATTGTTTATTAGTTTTCCGGGATAATTAAAATGTGTACATCTATACTGAAAATGTACGCAAATAAAAACAAATTTAAAATGCTTTAAATTTTATTTATAATTTCTTAATATCATTAACCCCCAAACCCCCTTTATAATTTTCAGTATCGGCAACGGACGCCTTCAGCTTTGTGGACGAGATGCGGCAGGCGGCCAGGCATGCCGAAAACCTGAACAACTTCGTCTACGAGCCCACCTCGGGCATGTACTACGATCCCAAGACGGGCTACTACTATAATGCGGTAAATAAGCTATAAAACGGAGGACGTAATCTTTATGACGTTCCGTTCTATTCCGCGGTGCAGCAGCGGCTGTGTGACATTCAGGGGTTATCGCAAGCCGGCGAACCTGCATCAATGCCTCGAACTGTTGTTAATCTTTGACGCCGCCACCCGGCTGCTCTTCTCTTCCTCACAGGAGTACGGGTTGTACTACGACGGGAGTACCGGTTGCTATTACAACTACGATCATGCCAAGGACTCGTACGAGTTCCACTCGCAGGCCCAAGTCCAGGTGAGTGGCTGTGAGCCTGATGGGCTGATGGGCCGCTAATTAACCAACGTTCTTCTCCTCCTCTCGGCGGGCAGCCCGTGAGCGATGGCGCCTATAGTAGACTTTTGGCTGATTTTCACAAACTCAGCATAGACCGAATGCGTAGAAATGCATTAGGTAAGCGTAAAGGCCGACAACATGCGATAAAAACGTGGATTTCTTTTCTTTATTCGGTTGCAGGCAAACGAACCGGCCAAGTCGGAAGCGGAGGACGATCCCGTGGAGTTCGATGAGCACGGAGGCGTCATCACGGACCGCAACACACTCGATAAAATCAAGGCTGAAAAGCAGAAGGCCAAAGAGCAGGCCGAGAAGACCAAGCGCAAGGCTAAGCGAAAGAAGAAGGACAAGAAGCACAGCAAGAAGAAGCGCAAGAAGGAGCGCCGTCGCAAGTCCAAGAGGCGTCATAAGGATTCAGGCGATGGGGAATCGGATGAAACGGATGAGGATGCCGAAGAGGGGGAGCTCTCCCAGAGCAGCTCTAGTTCCAATTCCAGCGAGGACAGCGCTGGGACTAATAGCGACACGGAGGACAGCAGTGTGCCGGTGTTCAAGGCCGCCGGCCGCTTTCAAGGTGTTTAAGAAATCCACGTTTTTGTCGCTTGTTTTCTCTTTTGTCTTAAAAAACTAACGCTTGCTTTTGTCTACCTCAGATATAGCCAAAAGGTATCCGCCCTCTTTGCGCATCATTGTCCAGGAATCAAGTATGGAGGCCTTGAAGGTGGGCAGCCTGCATCTAATCACCTTTAAAGGTGGCACTTTGGGACGCGAGGGAGCCCACGATGTCATCATACCCGACGTGAACGTGAGCAAGGCTCACTTGAAGTTCCACTACGAAAATAAATCGGGCATCTACAAGTGTCAGGATCTGGGTTCCCGCAACGGAACCATTCTCAATGGCTCCCCCATGGCCAAAGATGCCATGGATCTGGTCCATGGCAGTGTCATAACGCTGGGACAAACGAAACTCCTGTGCCATGTGCACGAGGGCAACAGCACCTGCGGACTATGTGAGCCAGGTCTGCTGATAGAGACTCCAACGCCAGTGGTGGCCACAACCATGGCGTCTACGGGCACAGTCCTAACGCACAAGGAGCAGCTAAAAAAGCTGCAAAGGAAATATGGACTGGAAAATGAGAGTAAGCATAGCTTTGGCTTAAAAACCCTTACCTGGTTTGACTATTTCTGCTTTTAGAATTTGTAGAATCCAGTGGCAATGGTCAGTCGGCGCCCAACTACAAAGATAGGGCTGCCACGAGGCGCGTCAATGTGGGCAGCAGCACGGATAAGGAAAAGACTGAGGTGGCCTGCGTCAACACGTGAGTTTCACCTTCAAATGTAGCTATTTTAAGCACCTTAAACTTTCATGTATTATGTATTTTTTCAGGGAAATTGGCAGCTCCAACAAGGGTTTCAAAATGCTCAGCAAACTGGGCTGGCAAAAGGGCGATACTTTGGGCAAGACCAATGCCAGTGCGGGGCTCTTAGCACCGGTAGGTTTTGAAGTTATTATCCACCCACTTCAATGCTAAATTCCTTTTACTTTACAGATCAATGTGGTGGCCAATGAAGGCACTAGCGGCCTGGGAAATACCGATCCCGTTCCCACCGCCTCGAGGACAATGGACAAGAGGAAATTGGCCAACTTGAAAATCACCCAGGCGCGTTATCAGCGGGCCCAGGACATCTTCGATCAATCCGACGAAAGCGATTAAGAAGACATTCATTTGATATTTTTTTTGATTATGTTGGAAACACATTTAATTAACAATTACTCAAAACATATTCATAATATTCATAATTGTATATATAGACATATGTATTGATATATACATCGTTACTATTGTATTTATATTAATTCAAAAATCTTGCTATAAGGTTAAGCTATCAGTCAGTGAATTAATTTAGCTTTGCTTAAGAACAATCCGAGTGGACAGAAGTTAAAGTTAATGTTAAATAAATATGACGGTTGGGTATATGTGTGTGTGTGTGTGTGTCTAGGCGCATACAAACGAATACATAATAAATATAATAATTGTTTAAATTAATTACCGAGTAGCCTACGTTAACGTTAAATACAAAAGCCTCTTACGATATGTGGTTTCTCTTGCTGGCTAAGAGTTGCTGCAATACGTAATGTTGTGGGTGTATGTGTGTGATAATACTTTGCCCTGTGTGTAAAGTGTATCCGATAATATGTGGTGCAAGCCGTGAGCCTATAATAACAAGATGAATGAGACTGAAGCCTGGTCCGAGTGTTTGACGTTGCTCATCTTGTTATTATAAGGTCTTTAGTGCTAGTGTCCACCAATTACAACACGAAAACGCACAACGAGAATCTTTGGATGTTGGAACTACGAAAGAACACGCTACATAATGTGGACTTCCTCTAGCAGCTACCCGTGGACTTTACTCCAATAAAGTAGCCGGAGTCACAGGAGTGCCTCTGCATCTCGCACCAGGAGTTGTAGGTGCGGTTATTATAGCCACATATTTTGTGCACCTGCAATATATAGCCATTGATCAGTGATTATTATACGTAGAGTTGTATTATATATACCCACCGGTCGCTGCTGCTTGCGCAAACACTTGTGCCGACAGGACACGCATCGCGGCAGGCCCGTCTGCAGATCCACCAGGCAGTTGTCCTTCGGTCCACACTTGATGTCCGCACAGCTCACGCGGCCCGCTGCAATATAAAGTTTACGATGCGAGCGCATTAATGACTACGCCTGCCTGTGGTTAAGTTACAGCTTTGTTTTTATGTCTGGCAATTTCGGTTTAATGGCCCCTGCACACTCCCAGGTCCTGTTCCTGTCATGAGAACCCCGGCAGGTGCTGCTGTGATTACGTGCCAAGCAATTTGTGAGTAAACTTTCGAATATTTAGGAAGAGCTATAGCTTAAGTTTTTAGCTTCAAAAATAAGCTTTTTTGATTATATTAAAAAAAGATTTGGGAGAATAGGAAATACGCTGGATATTTGGGATACTTTCAAGGAGTTTTTTCACTTTCGTTTGAAAAATATCTTTTAAAAATATTTAAATTGTTATTTTAGGTGTTCATATTCTTCTGAGATTCTCTAATCTATAATACATATTTTTTAGACACTCTACTTGGACGCTAAACTGTCTGTTTTTCTTGTGCCTTAACTCTCTGCCTCGTTGCCATTTGTCCTCCACAATTGCAATTTTCTACGTTAAAACATTATTCACACCACAGGCAACAGCAAAGAGAATGTTTTAAAAATACACCGGAAATTATAATTAAGATATTTAAGGAAATTTATAAAAATACTATAAGAGTCGAAGGTCTTAGTCACTAGCACTCTAATACACAATGAAACCTATTAGAACTCATATGGTATATTATATAAAATCTGTAAAAAAATATATATAAAAGTTGGGTTGAGTTTCGGAGGTCCATAATTTTTCTCTCTGCAAAATAATCGCTTAAACCCTTGCCCCTGCCACTCGCACTCTGGTCCCCATCTCCGCAATCGCCGCGGCGCATGCGCAAGACGGGTAGCATCTTCAGGCTGGACCAATATCCCATTCCAGCCCCAGCTCCAGCCCTGCCCTGCTCGTCCCTCACAATATATGTGTTTATCGTCAACATGATCTGCGACTTGGCAACATTGTTGCCAGAGCCTCCGGGCATTGTCGATCGCAGCAATTGCTGCGGAGATGGAGGAGGCTGAGCCGTGGCTAAAAGGGAGGCGGCGGCTGCGGTCTGGATGTCAGGCCCAGCATCCCTGGGTGACGGTGCGTGAAAGTCTGCCGTCTAGCAATTCGTAACAGTTAAAGTTTATTAATTTCAACTGCCCATTTTGCTTGGGGCATACGTCCATACGTACGTACGTCGTCCTCTGGCCCCGCACTTGTTGATTGTGATGGATGTGGCAGTGGCCTCCGCCAGAGCGGGAGCTGCACCGCCGCTGGTTATGGCTGATAATGCCGTCACAAGGCGAGCCAACTATAATTTGTTATGTCGACGTGGTTTAATCAACGCCGGCGGCCCGTTGGCGGAACTCATTGCAACATTGTGTGGCGGCAGGAATGGGGCTGGGCTGGGATCGGATGGGATGGGATGCGATGGGTCATGCGTCTGGCCAAGGCTTACGGATGTGTGTGTGTGTGTGTGCGTGTTCTCATTGAGGCCGGCTGGCCATTTTGGCATTGCGTGTTGTTTAAGGTGATTTTAATACGATCGTAAACCACAGAGGAAGAAGAGCCAGACGCTCGCCCAGACAAGAGTGACGTCGCGACGACGTGGACAGGCTGGACAGCCTGGACACCCCGTCCCAGACCGGACTTTATGCCACTACCCGGCTCCACCCTCTCCACACCGCGGAGCTGCAATCACAGAACCTGCGTCGCCGCAGTCGTTGCGAAAATGGCGTTTTAATGGTTTGTACGTGTAGTCATATTTCTTGGGCCCAACGGCAACTTTTCGTGGCTTGTGCCGGGGTCTTTGCCTGAGCTTCCACTCTCCCCACTCCCCTCCAGATTCAGAATTTTTTTGCAGACCCAAGCCGCGTCGGGATCGCGGCAGAAAAATATTTATGTGAAAGCAGACAAACAAACAAATGCCCGAGAACCATAAACTTACTAACCATGAAGATAAAAAGCTCGGGAGGCAAGACACGCGCACGCTGCACTATCTTATCGCCAGACGATCCACGTAACATAACGAGTACCAGACGCACATTAAGCAGCAGGAAGGAACCCAGGGAAGCGGAAGGATCCGGGTGTGGGGGCTCGAGAGGAAGATCGGAGAGATCAACAAACTGCAGGGACTCACGCACACTTGTTTTCGAGTTCTGAGTTGCTAGCTACGAGTTGCGTGGCTCAGCTAAAAGCAAAAGTGAATAGCTAATGATCTTAATTTAGAACCCGGCTACCGTTAAAACCGATTAGTAAGGAAAGACTTTGGGCTGACAGACTGATGGACAGATCGATGAGTAAATACAATCTGGGGTATTCTTTAGAGAAGTTGAATAGTTGAATTTTGAAATTTTGCTAGCCTAGAAGGCTGTGACTTTGGGGTCTTTGAATGTCAAGGCTGTAGCATCTAGACTTTCATAATCATTCGTTCTCAAAGCGCTGTACTGTAAGGTAGTAAAGCAAGTACATTTTTCTAAAACAAAATCTTGGTAAAACAACAAAATTTGTAATAGTTCTTTAATTTGGTTTACTTTTTATTTATAATTAAAGGATGCTTTTGGCTAAATCGAAGAGTTTGTGCTTTCCATAAAGGACACTTGGCCTAGAAGATCATCTCCGGTGAAAGAAAAAAAAGGCCTTGAGGCACTTAAATATATTTCAAAAGTGAGGCCAGAATCAACTTATGGCTTTGCTTCTCCAAACGACCAGAAGAAACCAGAAACTATGCTGTATAGCAACAACAATCTGGTGAGTTATGGTTTCTACAAGTATTTTAATACCCTTGCAGGGTATTATAATTTCAGTCAGAAGTTTGCAACGCAGTGAAGGAGACGTTTCCGACCCTATAAAGAATATATATTCTTGATCAGCATCAACAGGGGAATCTTTTTAGATATGTCAGGAAGAAATAGATTTTTTGGCCATTTTTGCAAAATTTTATAAGGGGTTACATCATTAAAATTTTTGATTTTGATAAAAAATTGAATTTTCAAAATTTTTAAATGAAGAATGCAGATTTATTACCTGTAGAATATCCTGCACAGAACAGTTTTCCGATTTAAAATTAATGCTCTTTTGGCCGAGTTATGATATTTTTAATTTAAAAAAAAAATCGAGAAGTTTTTTAATATAAAAAATCAGATTTTATAATACAAAATAATATTTTTCTAAGTCAAGGAATCATTTCCGACCCCATAAACCATATATATTCTTGATCAGCATCAACAGGGGAATCTTTCTAGACATGTCCGGAAAAAACGATATTTTTGGCCATTTTTGCGAAATTTGATAAGGGGTTACATCATTAAAATTAGCAAAAATGGCCAAAAATTTTGATTTCTTAAAATTTTAAATTTGGTATGCAGTTTTTTAAATTAATAAAAACTAACACAAAACTGCTTTCCGAATCGAAATTAATGCATTTTTGGCTTAGTTATGATACATTTTAATTGTTACCTGCAAGGGTATACAAACTTTGGCTGGCCAAAGTTAGCTTTCTTTCTTGTTTTTATTAAAATTTATTTTTTAATCCCACTTTTTGTACAGCTGTGTTCACGGAAATAGCAGTGCCCAACGACCTGCACGTTTAAGATCGGAAAATCCTGTTACAAACACTATTTTCATAAATTTTTTTTTCATAAAAGCTTAGTATATTTAATTATTAACAATACCACAATCATTTAATTTAGGTAACATAAACCTTTTAGAAGATATAGCTAATAACAACAAAAAAGGTCTATATTATGCCGATCATTGAAATAGCAGTGAAAAACTAAAATTCTTCATAAATTTAAAAATATCGTATAAGAAACCTATTTCTTCTTAAATTCCAATTGACTATGATCTAATATTTTGTTAAATAGCCTTTAGAAGCTATCATAGCCTCATACCTGGGTGGCATGGAGTCCACCAAGTCTTAGCAACGCTTGAGGGGAATATGGCCTCATTCCTCCTGCACAAATTGCCAAAGCTGCATCTTAGAAGTCGGAAACTTCTTTAATAAGTAGCCCTTGATGTCCCCCCATAAGTTTTCGATCGGATTTATATCCGGGGACTGTGCAGGCCATGGCATTGCATCCACTTTTTCATTAAGAATCCACTCCTTGGCTACCTTGATGGTATGATTAGGGTCACTGTACTGCTGAAATGTCCAAATTAATGGCATATTTTCCTCAGGATACGGCTGCAAGACAGTTTTTAATATTTAGACATAAACATAGTGGTCTTTGATCCCACCGATCATATATACGGGACCTACAACGTTGTATGAAAAGTATACCCAAACCATGATTTTTAGGCCACCGTGTTTTACTGTCTTCAGCGTATGGTTTGGGGGGTACTATCTATTTGGGGGTCGACGGACATATTGTCTTGTCCTATTCCACCAAATAAAACCAGTTTGGAGTCATTTGTCCAAAGGATATTACGCCATTTGAAAAGTGGCAGTTCAAGGGGCTATTGGCGAACTCCAATCTGGCCTTGATATGCCTATAACCAAGCAGTGACATTTTCCATGGACTTCGCGAATCTAAAATTTATTCAATAAGTCCCCGGTGAATGGTCCCATGACTGATTCCCATGCCAATTCCCGCTCATATATCCCTAGAGGATGCAAAAGGACGAGCTTTGCTGAAGCGAAGTACGCGTCGAGCCTGTACAATTGGGGTTTTGCGAATCGTACCCCGTTTTTTTTGGGTTCGGTTCATATTTTATGACTTATAAACTATTTTAAAAGAACAATTTGAAAGATTTAGAGACTCTTTACATGTTTTGCCCTTCTTTCTAGGCTAAATTATCTGATATCTTTCTCTCATGGAGCAGTGAGGTCCTGCGCCCACCCAAAAAATTTTTTTTTTTGCGTTGTAAAGGTGTATTATAGTATAAACTATAATAACGACCTTAATTAAAGTCATTTTTTACAAAATTAAAAGAAATTTCGGCACTTTTTGCGAAAGAAAATTAAAAACTGCTATTTCAGTGATCGGCCAAAACGAGCTGCATATGTGAAAAAATATCAATAAAACATAAAAGTAGAGCAAATCTAACGGAATTTTTTCTCGATTCTTATCTTTATGTTCCATTTTACAAAAACAATGTGCAATAGATCAGCTTGCAAAAAGGAATATGTACAAAAAAACGTTTTGAAGTTGTTCCTCTGTCGCACTGCTATTTCCGTGAACACAGCTGTATATGGGACATATATTGTCCCTTAGTGCTGACCCTGCACCTACGTGAAAAATATAACAAAGAAAAACATTCCCTAATATTCTGAGCTTAATCTAATATCGGATATAGTAAAACAACCGGCTAACTCTCTGAGATATAACCATTTTAAATGAATTTTGAAGGAACAAAAATACAGATTTAATGGAAAAGAATAAAGAGCATACAATAATGTTCGCAGGATAAACATACTTTGGTTGTATGTACCTCAAGACTTACTGGAGTTAAGGGCGTACTTATGGTCACAACGCAAAATGGAAGGTTAAGAACAATATATATTAGTTACACGATTATCCAATCTTCGAATATATGTTATGTGAAGACACTAACATGTCTTAAATATAAGGTAAAGAAAATGTAGAATTCCACGGGATTTAAAACTCAGATGAGACAGTTATACCATATTATAAGCGGGATAAACATACTTAACTATCTTCGAAGTCGATGACTATGAAATATTGCAACAAGGAAGAGACAAATATTAATCAAATACTCATAAAATGCCAAATTGCAGTCTATTAAAATGTCAATTCTATTCCCTAAGCAAATAATTTTGGAAATAAGTCGAATGTCTTATTTAAATACAAATTGAATGGCCAAGATTATACAGAAGTACCAAAATATACAAGAATATTCGCAGGATAAACAGGCTTTGAAGCTCATGACCTAAGAGATATGCATTGAAACAAGAAATACCATACTCAATTACTGCCCAATTGGAGTCTTCAAATATTCAATTAAAATTGCAATTAAATTCCTGCCAAAATCAAGTAATTTTGGCCACATGGTTAATATGAACCAATGGAATATGAATATGCATAAAGTTATACATATCATCGGCTACAAGGAGTTATTCATGGAAATTGAGGAAGACGCAAGTTTGCAACATTGATAAATAATAATACCCTGCCCATGTGGTGACCCAGCAGGGGGTATTCCGTCAACGGCAGCTGCTGTTGGCGCTGGATTGACAGCTTTTGTTTTCGCATTTACCATGTACATGCTGTAATTTGCGACAAAACACTGCAATTAACAGGCAATTGCAGTCGGGCAGCCCTCTTTTGTATCTTCGGCCCCCATGGCACACTAAACTAGTTTGAGTCCGTTCGTCCGTCTCCACAGCTATCGCCATAGCCATAGCCATCGCCATCGCCATCTCCATCTCCGTTCCGATCTGATCTCAACCGACGTTCTCGAGTTCGTCTCTCCGGATTTGGTGCGACAGCGGAACGCCCTCCACGCCTTCCTTCCAGCAGCAGTGATTGCCACACAGGAAGAAAAATCACCTATCTAACGGGAATATTTTATAACCTTGGTATTGTAACCAGGGTATCCTTATTTCAGTCAGAAGCTTAAAAGGTAATGAAGGAGTCATTTCCGACCATATAAATCATATATATTCTTGATCAGCATTAACAGCCGAATCGTTTTAGCCATATCCGGAGGAAAACAATTTTTTTTCAATTTTTTCAAAATTTGATAAGGGGTTACATCATTTTTAAAATCTAAAATTCAGTATGCAGATTTGTTACCCTAATGAAAACTAACACAAAACAGCTTTCCAAACTGAAAGTAATGCATTTTTGGCTTTCTTATGAACAATTTTAAGTGCCTCCCCTGGTGCAATTGTAACCTCAAGGGTATACAAACTTCGGCTTAGAAAAAAGTAGCATAGAAAAGAATTCTTAATTTGATTTAATGCTTTTTTGACTTAGTTATGATATTGTCTAAAATGGGTTATATGGCATATTTATTATTTACTTAAAATGTATTTTAAAATATGTAATTTTCGTATATATTTATACATATGATATATTTCAAGTAGCCAATATTCAAAATAACATACATTCTGGTTTTAGAATTAATTATATATTTACAAGAATTATGGAAAACAAATGTCCTAATATCAGTCAGTTGATATTATTTAAACATCACCTTTTGATGATGTCCAAGATATCGATATAATGCCATTTTATATTTACTCTATTAATATTCTAAAAGCTATCTCTTATGCCAGGACCAGGAAATTATTTACATCTGCCAAGTATCCCATAGTATCCCTGAAGTTTGTACTTATGTCTTAGGTCTTCATTTTGCAATGTTAAAATATCATAGTGATGCAAATGTTGTGACCTATATCAAGCAACTAGTTTTCAAATATAAACTTGATACATATTTATCAGATGTATAAAAATATTATTTTTATTCACTATTTTATAATATCGAAATAATGCAAATTTGTTTTCCTAATGGTAACTATTGAATGCTACATTAAATAATTGTTTATCTCTGCTTCCCATACTCGATTGAGAACTACTAATTTCCTTTTCTATAAATTAATACTTGCTAAATAGATTCTATAGGTTTTTATGAAACTTTTAATGATTTAAGTGATAATAGGCAGATATCAATTTGATCATATGAAAATGTTATTTATAAGAAACAATTTAAAATGAAATATTAATGAATGAATTTTGATCAAAAATAACCATAATGTAATGTAATTGTATGAAATTTATATTTAACATTTTGCTATGATAAAAAATAAGATTAACTTAAACAATAAGGAATATTCACAAGTTTTTGGAATATAAAATAAGGAACCACATGTCCCAAAACGAATTCTAGTATCAAACAATGCGAGATCAAATAGCAGATAATTTTTTAAAGGAATACGGAATTTCTCCCTGTGCAACACCGCCCCTTTGTGGGCTGGCGAGGGGCATTATAATTAATTGGAAATCGGAGTCGATCAATCGGATGGCAACCGCAAAATTAATAAGCATGAATGATGCCGACGACGCGAGTGTTCGCAGAGATGGTAATTGTAGTTGTAATTGTAATTGCAATGGCAATTGTACGAGTAATTGTGGATGCGCCGCGGTGTCGTAGAGGCGTCGCAGCCAGTCAAAGTGGAGCAGAGTCGACGGGCTAATCAAATTGCTGGCAATCATGGAGCCGTATAAGCAAATGTAGCAATTTTAGCCAAACACCGAGACGGGGACCAGAGAGGCCGGAGACCGGAGACTGGAGACCCGACCCAGCAGCGACGGCAACTTGATATGGCCATGTTGCAGACGTCGACGACGACGACGACGGCAACAACCACTTGTGGCTGCGGCCGAGACGCGACTCTTAACAACAGCTTAACTTGGCTGGAAACCTCAGTCGAGTCAATCAAATGCAAAATTGCGGTTCTTTGTTGATTGTTGTTAAATTCGCACAACTGCAACAGCAACAGGGATTGCAACTGCAGCTAGCAATTTGCCACCGCAATGGCTCTGACTCTGGGCTCTGACTCTCCAATTAATCTGATTTGATTGATTTCCATTTGGCCCAAAATACATACCTCGACAGGGTCCCGGATATGCCACGGCAATGGAGCGTCCAATTTGGCAAATCATTCGATTTATATCACACGCGCTCCTGTATGTCTTCCCATCGACGCCGCACACCGCCTCCCGTTCGTCATAGCCACTGGAATTTGCATCTAGATCCAGATCCAGGTTATCCCAGGGGCACTTAATCTGGCAGGCAATGCAGTGGGGCATCATGTACTGATCCTCCACACAGGATAGACCATCCAGGCACTGGACTCCATGGCAGCTAGCTGGGGATTGATTGGAAGAGGAAGGACTTTAAATCGTTGGATACTTAATAATATTCTTTTAGTTGATTATTGAATATAAATATATTGTATTGGATATTTTATTTACTAATGAATACTGTATATATATTTGTAAATGTTTTAAAATGAATTGAATGAAGGAGTAAATGTTATTTTACATTCAAGTAAAATTGCTTGTATTTATACTTAGTAATCTGATTTATGCCTTTTAATCTATTCAAAATCCCCCCAAAAAATCATTTAAAAAACCCTATAGCACCTTGCAACTTTGTTTCTTTTTGGCATTAACAAATGCTGTTCGAATATATAGTAGAGACGCCTATAAATAAGCAGTTGGCCAATTTCTATGATTAGCTCTCTGGTGGCTCTGGCAGACACACTCTCTATGGCCGGCAATAAACTGTCGAAATTTATCAGGGGGACACATGTATATATGCTGTGGTCCGTTGATGCGAGAAGGCGAAACGCCTTGGCGCCAACTGTGGCACTCGCGAAAAATATTGCAATCATTTTTTCCGCTCGCAATTGAATGTGAATTGCCGATTGGGCATTCCAGGGGATATATTGGCACGCGCCAACGTTAGATGGCTGGAATAGCTTGGCTAGCTGGCTGGGTGTTGCCCCCCTGCAACTTGCCACACATAACCGGCAACCGGCAAGAGCAACTCCTCTAGAGAATGTCGTGGCTCGCGGCTAATCCAACGAGTTCTCTCTGCGTTCTTGTTGGCTCATCGTTCTTGCTGGCCGTTTTTATTGATCATTTGAGCATGTTTGCGAGTGCTTCCTGTATCATTAAATTATTACACAACATTTCTGGCCACTGGGCGCTCTACGAGATGTGGCTGGTCAGTTGATTTCACCACCGACTCGGCCGGCTCTCGGCTCTCGGCTGACTCTGCTGGCGACAAGTTGTTGGCCGTAATTGAAATGTGCAATAATTTGTCATCTAATCTAATTGTGGCGCTGCTGCGTTTTGGCACGCGAGTGGCAGTACCTGGTCACTGGGTGGACTTACTCTTGCAGTGGCCCCGATAGGCGACCTCCAGTTGGGCGTTGTTGGTGCGGCAGGCGCGCTTGCGCAGCTGGCACTCGGTGTTGTAGGTGCGTCCGTCGTTGCCGCAAACCGGATTGGGATTCAGATTCAGATTCAGATTCTGACTGGAGGAGTGCTGCTGGAACAAAGATCAGAGTTAGTGGCCCCAAGCAGACCTAGACCCAGACTTGGACTCACCTCGTAGATGCCGCCCAAAAAGGCCAAGTCATGGGCATTAGCAAAGTCCGATGACGCAGCCGTTTCACTTCCGTGTTGCAGGCGAAACCTCGACCTCGACACCACTGTGCTGGTGCTGGTACTGGTGGTGGCATTCGCCTCGGCTTCTGGATAAGCATCCTTGTGCTGCTGCCGGAGCCGGAGCCTGTGCCTCTGTCGCCTGTCCCTGTGCCCATTGTCTGGATGTGGAGCGTGCAACTCCAAGCGTCTGCCGCTGTGCTGGTGTCTGAGGCGGGCATTATCCGACTGTCTATTAATGTCGTTGGCGGGTTCATTAGCATTCGCTGAGGAGCGTCTAGACGGAGGCTGAGTTAGAGCTTCCACTGGGACTGCCACAGCGACTGACTGCGCAGGCGTCTTGTCTGCTGCTTTGGACGAGTCATTGGCTCCTGTCGTCATTGATCTTGTTAAGTGTTTGCCGTTGTTGCCATGGCTGTTCCTCTGTCTGCGCCTCTCGTAGCCCGTCATCTCCACCCGGCCTCCGCCTCCGCCTCCGCGTGATCTGGAGCGATCTGGCAAATTGCTGCTGTCTATAATCAAAAGGCGACGGTGCCTGGGACTCGGACTGGGGCTGGGACTCGGACTGGGACTTGCCACTTGATTTTGATGTTGCTTTTGCAGCTTTCTTTGGTTATCAGCAATGTGTTGGCGTTGGCTGCCGCCGTCTAAACCTAAATTGGTGTTGGAATTTTCACTACTTAGACTACGGGAATCGCGGGGCGGCATTCCAGGTTGCTGCTGCTCCTGCTGCTTGCGACGCAGTGCAGCTCCGCATTCGGGTGCACAGACGCACTTGGGCCGACCTTTGCGCTTTACACACTTTTTGTTTGGCCCACATGTAAAGCCCTTGCAGCTCTCTGGGGGAAATAGGGGGATATATAGGGAAAGGAATCCTGGTAATCCTGGTTTTAGGACACTCACCCATGCAAGGCGAGCACTCCACGCCGCCACCTATGGCCGTGGCAAAGAAGTACTCCACGCTGCTCAGCTCGCGATCCGTAAAGGAGAAGCTCTGGCTGGCACGGCAGCACTCGGACCGGGTGATGTTGGTGGAAAAGACCTGGCCGCACTTTCCACTGCCCAAATGGGTTTGCCAGCAGGTGCCAGCTAAAGGGGAAAAGTATTTCAAAGGTTTAATTATTATTTATTATCATTTTTATAAAGTTTTCCCATTAAAATAACTCATAAGTAAACAAATAATTTTTGCAAATATTAAATAACACTTTTCCTTGAGCTTAACCGGAAGAAAACAAGTGAAAACAGACCCCTGCTCGTTGCTCGAATTACATTCAGGTATTCCAAAGACCAAAACAAATATTATTTGTTTACTTTTGAAGATTCGGGAAGGAATGTGCCTTCTGCTAATCAAATTCGCACAAATTCTGGCCTTCTTCCTCAGCTTTTTTGCTTTACTTTTTCTATATTTTGATCTTTCCACTGCTGTTGTTATTGTTTTGGTTGTTGTGATCAAATGGATTTGGCAGATCCAAGCAGATTTTGGCATAAACAAACAGAAACAGAGGCCGGTCCATGGAAATTGCGTCATATTTGAATATAATGTGACACATTTATCAAGAGGCGAATGAACTGGATGGCGCCACTTTCCGATGTAACCACTCCATGCACACACACAGACACTCTCTGGGAGACTTACCCGCCGCCAGGCGTAGAAGATCCAGTAGCAGCAGACCAATTAACAGAGCCATCAAAGGCTGTCCAGCTCCCGCTCCCGTGCAGCGCATGCTCTTCACTGGACTAGAACCGGGCAAGTGTTCGTGCTGCTGCTGCCGCTTATGTTGGTGGTGTTCACGTGCCATTGACACCTCCTCGTCAGCGTTGCTGGTCGTGCGTCTGCGACGAAGACTTTGTTGGCCCGCATTGACGTCACGATGAGGGACGGCAGCGACGGCAGCTGAGGCCCAGTGATCGTCATCCAGGCAACACCAGCAATTGGCCAATTCTTGCAAAAAGCTCCATGCGTTTACTATAAATAAACTGAGAATTGTTCTACATTTGCGGCTAGTTGTTGCCACTGCTGACGTCTGCGGCGACATTGCTGGCGTTAATTGGTTGGCCGCTGTACGCGCTTCCGCTGACGTGGCAGGAAGTCCGCGGATCGCCATCCCTCCTCTGCGCTTGAATTTGTAATTCGATTTTAGAAATGTCAAGTTGGTCTGGCTGTTCGTTTGATGATGATGAGGCATGACAACGGCAAATGCTGCGGATAAATAAAAGGAAGGCAAACACTTAGGACAAAACAGGTAGAGTGGTAAGTTAGGGACGATTCTAGGGGGTTACTAGGGGGCTTCAATTAAGCCGGGGTGCACAAAGGTTCTAGCCACTGACACTCGAGTGGAGGAGCAGCCGCCTCAAGTGGCAAGCCAGCAACATGATGCAACCACCAGCAGCAGCAGCAGCAGCAGCAGCAACAAGAACAGCCAGTCAAGCACAAAGAATGTTTTGTACAAAAACGACGGCAAAGAGGCAACAATTAAGTCTCAAACGTTGAGTTGACATTGAGCAGGCGGTTTTCAAAATGCGACTACTAAAAATAAAGAACCTGTTGCTGCTGCTGCTGCCGCCTTGTTGTAGGTTTGGCGCATTTTGCACATTATGCAGCGTCTGTCTGGGCCTCGAGTCTGTCTCTTGTTCGGTCTGGGTCTCCATCTCCATCTCTGTCTGGGTCTTGGCACCCCTCTCTCTCTCTGCTGTCTGTCTGTTTGTTTGTTTGTTTAATTGCACAAAGAAGAATTTTGGGGGATATTATTAAATATTATATTGTTAATCAAAATTCTTCACTATGCAAGGATTATGCCTTATTTTAAATGGTGAAAATGTACTACCAAGCCTTAAATGATTTTTATACCCTTGCAGGGTATTATAATTTAAGTCAGAAGTTTGCAACGCAGTGAAGGAGACCTTTCCGACCCTATAAAGTATATATATTCTTGACCAGCATCAACAGGGGAATCTTTCTAGATATGCCAGGAAGAAATGGATTTTTTGGGCATTTTTGCGAAATTTTATAAGGGGTTACATCATTAAAATTTTTGATTTTAATAAAAAATTGAATTTTCAAAAATTTTAAATGAAGTATGCAGATTTATTAACTGTAGAAAATCTTGCACAGAACAGTTTTCCCGATTTAAAATTAATGCTCTTTTGGCCGAGTTATGATATTTTTAATTTTACAAAATCAAGACTTTTTTAATATAAGAAATCTGATTTTATAATACAAAATAATATTTTTCTAAGTCAAGAAATCATTTCCGACCCCATAAACCATATATATTCTTGATCAGCATTAACATGCGAATCTTTCTAGACATGTCCGGAAGAAATCGGTTTTTTGGCCATTTTTGCGAAATTTGATAAGGGGTAACATCATTAAAATTAGCTAAAAAGGCCAAAAATTTTGATTTCTTAAAATTTTAAATTTGGTATGCAGTTTTTTTAAATTAATCAAAACTAACACAAAACTGCATTCCGAATCGAAATTAATGCATTTTTGGCTTAGTTATGATATATTTCAATTGTTACCTGCAAGGGTATACAAACTTTGGCTGGCCAAAGTTAGCTTTCTTTCTTGTTTAATATAATATAATATTTATTTATAATATATATATATATTTATTTATAATATATATAATATTTATATTATTTAATAACATTTCTCTCCCTGTAAATTTTTGTGACTTGGCAGTTTGTTTGCCGCGTTAGTTTGGCATTTGTTTTATTTTGGCTGGCTTGGCTGGAGCTCTGCCATCCACATCGTTGCTGGATGGTTGTCAGTGTCATCGCCATGACTTTAAGGACGTGCTCTAGACAACATATGCATAGACGATGGAAAGAACAGACTGCCATTGCAACTGAAGCCGGGGCCGTGCCAGTCGCATGCAACAATTGCCGCACGGAACGTGACTGGAGTGTGACTCGGCTCGAGTATCCTAATTTGGCCAACTCGGCGAACGTCCTTGAGGCGACTGCTACCCTATTCAATTAGCCCACTTCAGGTGGGGCCCCAAAGCCATTATCGAAAGTTCAGCTGCTCCGGCTCCTGCTCCTATGCCGTGGCACATAGCAGCGGCAATTAATGACCTACTGCGTCTGCGGGTTCAGGTCCAAAGAAATTATTGCGTTAACACGCGTTGCGACATTTTGTATGACCATCGTCCGACTGGGTCCAGTCCGCGTCCCTGCATCCCCATCCCCATCCCCATCCGCATCCGCATCCCAGGCTTGTCCAGCCGGCGCGACGATGCCCGCCAGACGATGTCTGCACTCACACAGACCCGTAAAAAATGATTACAAAAAAAAAAAGAACGCGAAAGACTGCAGCTTATGCAAGCCGAACTTTTAATGTCCTTGCTGGAATTAATAGTTTCCAGGAAATCAACTCCTTGGCTTAACAGCAATTTGGTTAAATAAAATTGCAGTTGAAGAGGAAATCACATGGGGTTTTATAGCTTTGTAGATCATTAAATCAAGAATGTAATTTAAAATTATATATCATTGGTTATTTAGTTTGTTAAAGATAAACAACTTATTCAAATTATTTTATTTATTTACGGAACACCAAAGTTAAACTATCTGATGCCTTTATTTGGGAATTTTCAAAACTTTAAATATTTTTTCAAGACGGTTCACCCATATTTACATTTATCACCATTAATTCTATGTATTTTTTAAACAATAAATATTATAAACATTACAATAAATTCACTTTCTAAAGGGTATCACAGCGCACGCACTTGCCTTGGTCTTCTGGGGGATTGGGAGATTGTGGTGCCGGCTGACTGAGGGGAATGGGAATCGAAGTCTGGACACTGAGGATTGGAGTTGCAGTTGCAGTCGGAGCTCCGACTTCGAGCTGCATTCCTGCAGCGAGGCTATTTTTAGAGCAGCTCGCAGTCAATGGGTTTTTATAACCTTTGCAGACGGTATCGCAAATAACTTAGTTACGACAAATGTAACGGACTAATCCACATGTACTGGCATAAAGCCCACGTTTTGCACAGAAAGAAACTTGGGAAATTATTAGTGAGATCTTTAAATGAAGAAGAATCTGTAATACTTAAAATAGATTTCCTTTTTTGTTGAAGATTGTAGATTTAAGAAGTCAAATTTAAGTATTTACTTTTTATTTTTTCAATTTTAATTTAGAAAAAACGCTTTTTGTTCAGGTTTTACTTCTGGGAGACTTTGTTCTCCCTGCCTCGCAGTTTGTTTTTTCCGTGAGTTAATAACTTGATCTTTCTTATCTCCTCTCCATACTTAAAAAACCTCCCCTTTTCTCTCAGTGCAGTGAAAGTGTCAATCCACCTTGGGCCATACCTAGATAAAGGCCCAGCGATTTCTTATCCCGATCTCAGGCGATCCGCTAAGGACTTTCCTTCGGTTCGCTGACTTTTACTGTACCCAAGGCTCCCAGCTTGGAATACCTCGAATTCCTGAGTGGCCTGCAAAAATGTCTTTTGGGCACAGCCACCGAGGCACAATACAGGAGCAGCAGCAGCAGCAGCAGGGGGAAAAATGCAAGGAGCGGCGGCCACAAAATGCATTCTCCTCGGCGGCAGCAACTGCATTGCCAAACCAAGCACACACACACACTCACCCCGAGAGCGTCTATATACCAGACCAAACCATATAGATATAGCCTCAGCCATGGCGAATGCCTGGGCTCCTCGGGAGATGCAGTTTGACCGTTGGCCGCCGCATCGAAAAAGACCTGTTTTCGTGTTTTTTGGGCATTTATTCTGCACTTTTTCAAGAATGTGTGTGTGTTTTTTTTTTTTTTTGGTCGTTCGTTTGTATTGAATTGCATCTTCTGCTGCGCTGATCCTGCCACTGCCACTGCCACTGCACTTGGCCAGAGCAAGTGCATAATTTCAACCTCAAGTCTGGGCTGCTTGCATCAAATGTGGTGCTAAATTTCACTGCGGTTCTTTCGGGCATTGCACCGCCTTTAGTTACATTTGCGTATTAGATTAAGTTAAAGTCACAGTACCAGTCGCAGTCTGAGATCCAGTCTGAGTCCCAGTCTGAGTCTCAGTCTGTGTCCCAAAACAAACACAGTGCGTATCATATTATACGGCGAGCATGCTCTGGAGCACGTGCTGTGTCTGGGGGAACCTGCAACCTGGAACTCGGAGAAAACCGATCTCCCAGACGGCGGCATTGCAGAATAAATTTCGGAAAACAGATAAAGTTGCCAAAAGAAACAACAAAAGAACTGGAAAAACTTTTATATAAATATTAAAAGTAAACAGGGGAAAAATAAGTGAACGTCAATTGTCTATAAAAATTCCAAATAAAAACCCCTTTTACCCCTACAATTCCCTATTATTTTCTCTCCGTGTGCCTTCGTTTCCACTCTTTTTTAGGCTGGACACAAAATCCAGTCACCGACCGACTTTAAGCTCCCATTCAGGCCGATTGCGCAACACCGATCCCCAATCCGAATCCGAATCAGAGTCTAAGGCTATTTTTAGACCCGTTCTGCGAAACCCTGTGGGTCGCCGTCTCCGTCTCTTTGGATAACTGTGCTACCAAAAAGAAAAAAGGGTCAACGTGTTTGGTTTCATAAACAACAAATGGCCAAAATTTGGGGAGCGGCGACCGGCAAGGAAGTTTCTAAGGAAACAGTTTGTCATTCGCCACAGCCAACAGTCAACATGAGGAAATTCCTTTCGGCAAACTCATCAGCCAAAGTAAACTGTGCGTCTCCGTTTTGGCGCGAGATTAATGACACTTGCCCCCCGTCACAGCTCCAGCTCCAGCTCCAGTCCCATTCCCTGTCCCCCGCCTCTGGGCCCGTCCTCTTACTATCCCAATACGCATACGCACATTTGCATATGACAGCAGGAGCTCTGCTCCGTTGTTTGTTATGCAAGCAGTAAATTTTCAATAAATATACATAAAGCAACAAACAAATCAAATCAAACCCCGCCAGTAGCTGTATCATCAGCAGCATCGCCTGGCCCGGCAAGAGCAGACAGCTGGACTGCCGGGTGTTGTTGCCTGGGACTCTTGGTGGAGGCTCGCCGGACCAGCAGCCTCGGATGCGATCAAAACAACAGCACTGAGAGCTCGATATATTTCCTGTTTTGTATCACTTAAGAATAAAATATATATCTTTTTATATATTTAATGTTAACCTTTTATTTTAATGAGAGAATTATAAACATAATTAAGAGGTTACTTATTTTTCAATGTTCGAAAGGCATTCATTCTAGTTCTTAGAGTCTATTAATTCTATTATTTATTCTAGTATCTAGTACTCTATATATCCTAGTAATTAACATTTTATAATTTAAAATAAAACAATTAATCAAATAAGTAGGCTTTAAGGCTGCGTTAATTTCATATAAAAATATAAAAATTTATCTAACGAATATTTCCGGCCTTGTTGAAGGGTGTTTTAATTTTGCTCAGTCAAGGATACATTTCCGAACCTATAAACCATATATATTCTTGATCAGCATTAAACGGCGCATCTTTCTTGACATTTCCGGAAAGTTTTTATTTTTCTTAATTTTTTCAGAATTTTGTAAGGGGTAACATCATTAAAATCATAAAAAATTATGATTTTTTAAAATTTTAAATTTAGTATGCAGATTGAACAAGCTAGAAAAAACTAGCATAGAAAAGCTATCCGAATGCAATTGGGTTCTTTTTTGGCTTAGTTTTGATATTTTTAAACTTTAATTTTCAATAATAAATGTTATATATATGATCAATTATAAATTCGCCCTTTAATTTAATTGCTAATTTCCAGGGTATACAATTTTTATTATTTTAAGGCCAGTTTATAATGGTTTATTTCAAAATTTACTCAAAAATGTAGCCTTGGAGAAGGAAAATTAAAAGGTAACAATAGTCCACATAAATGTCTCTAAAGAAATTCCCAGATATAGTTCAGATTTCTCTACTTCTGAGACACCCCTAAATAACCTCTCTGCTATTCCCTTGACCACAGCTGTCTAGTCCAGACCCAAGAAGAGGCTGCTACCCAAATCCCTGAGCTGCTTCTTGCCTCATCTTCAAGCTGTTTGTTTTTTTCCAGCTCCGACGTCACGCGTTGCACATGCGCAGTGTTGGCCCAAGAAAAAACCAAAAAGAAAACAAAATATGCCGGCACTTGAGACCGCATTCGACTAGACTACTAGTATTTGTATTTGTTGTTCTTGGCTGGCAGGACGGCTCATTAACAGCCGCCAGAAATGTCGCCGAGTAAACAGGAAATCTGCAGGATGGCCAAGGCGAAGCGAAAAGCGCGCGCGCGCGTGAAATTGCTATTTGCTTATTCTACGAGTTGAACCCCTAAACCCCCTTTACCCCTTCAAGTCCAATCCAAGACCAAGTCCCAATCCCAATCCCAATCCGTAGCGGAATCGCATGCAGACACAGCAAACCCGACCGAGTCTCGGCCTGTGTAAACAATATATCGGCTCACATGAAATCGGAGCTGTTATTGAGTCTTCCGATCGTTGACCATTTGTTGACAACTATGCAAGAATTTTGTTATTGTCTGAGATGGTTAATTATACGTGGAAAAGCTGCTGTCGAAACAGCCGATGTCTGTCTATGAGAAAGCACTTTTTTCATATTTTATTTTTTATTATTTGCAGTTCTTGGCTCACCTTTTTTAAAACTGCACTCGCTAGTAGTTAGTACTCTTTATTTATTGAGTTTATTTTCCGCACTTCTTGACCGTGTTTTTGTTTGCTAATTAATTAGCAGCAAACTGATCGACAAGTTCTATTAGTTGGTATTTTTTAACAACAAAAAATAAGCAAAATAAAAACACAAAAATTAAAGGCTACCACCAGGGTCTTGATCTTCTAATCTTTTCTTTTTTTTGCACACTTTTTCGCTGAGCTATGCGTATTTCGAGTTTATTTACATTTCCCCGATTCGGCGATATTAAACTGAGTTCTGCTCTGGAACCACGAAACTGGAAACTGCTGGAGGAGCCAACGAGGAGGAAGACGTGCGCTCCATCTGATGGTCGAATGCCGACTGAATTTTGAAAACCAAAGTTCTCATTTAGGTAAGAAAAAGAGACGGCAGGCGGCAGTCTTACACCCAGACACACGAGCGGCAGCCACAGGCACACCGCCGCATGCACAGTGGGCACATCATCATGTTGATCAAGAATATATAAGATGAGGTTTTTATATATATGGGAATTTCTATAAAAGTATCGAAGGAGTGTTGCAAAATCAAAAACGATAAAAGAATTTTGTTTTAACACGAAATCTATAAAATTAAACTGCAAAAGTAGTACTTTTATTCATTTTAAATATATAATTATCTTATGCATTACATATTACTTAAAAATTAATAAATAAATTTAAAAAATATTATGAAGTACAATTTCCCCCCTCGAGATGTAGCGTTCGATAATGATTAAAATTAAATATAAAACAAGAAAGAAAGCTAACTTTGGCCAGCCAAAGTTTGTATACCCTTGCAGGTAACAATTAAAATATATCATAACTAAGCCAAAAATGCATTAATTTCGATTCGGAAAGCAGTTTTGTGTTAGTTTTTCTTAATTTAAAAAAACTTCATACCAAATTTAAAATTTTAAGAAATCAAAATTTTTTTCAATTTTTGAGAATTTTAATTTCAAATTTCGCGAAAATGGCCAAAAAATCGATTTCTTCCGGACATGTCTAGAAAGATTCCCCTGTTGATGCTGATCAAGAATATATATGGTTTATGGGGTCGGAAATGATTCCTTGACTAGAAAAATATTATTTTGTATTATAAAATCTGATTTTGTATATTAAACAACTTCTTGATTTTTTTTTAAATTAAAAATATCATAACTCGGCCAAAAGAGCATTGATTTTAAATCGAAAAACTGTTCTGTGCAAGATTTTCTACAGTTAATAAATCTGCATACTTCATTTAAATTAAACCCCCTTATCAAATTTTGCAAAAATGGCAAAAAAATCGATTTCTTCCTGACATATCTAGAAAGATTCCCCTGTTGATGCTGATCAAGAATATATATGGTTTATGGGGTTGAAAATGATTCCTTCACTTAGCAAAATATTATTTTAAAGAAATGCTCCAAATCAAGCTAATTGGCGCTTGATCTAGTGCTAGGTAAAAGCTATAAGTTTACATTAATTAAAAACAAGAAAGGAAGCTAACTTCGGCACGCCGAAGTTTGTATACCCTTGCAGATATTATTTCATTACATTTCAACTATACTTATAATGTTTACAGTTTGACAGTTACAGTTTTACATTCACACCTTTACATTTTCTCTACATCTACCGATCGCTCCTATGGCCGCTATATGATATAGTTGTCCGATTTTCATGAAATTTATACCAAAATTCTAGAATAATAAAATAAGCTTATATCTCAGAGTAGATGAAAATACGTTGAAAAACAACGAAGTTATAATTTGTTTCCTATTAATTTCCCGATCGTTTCTATGGCAGCTATAAGATATAGTCGTCCGATTTTCATAAAATTTTTACCAAAATTCAGAAATAATATAGAATGGCCATATCTAAAAAATGGTGCAAAAATGTTAAAAAACAGCAAAGTTATAATTTTTTTCTTAAAAATATGTCGAACATTTGTATGGCAGCTATATGATATAGTCGTCCGATCCGGCCCGTTCCGACATATATAGCAGTGAGAGTATATAGAAGACTATATGCAAAGTTTCATTCAGATAGCTTTAAAACTGAGGGACTAGTTTGCGTAGAAACAGACAGACGGAAAGACGGACAGACGGACAGACGGACAGATGGACAGACGGACAGACGGACATGGCTATATCGACTCGGCTGTTGATGCTGATCAAGAATATATATACTTTATAGGGTCGGAAACGTCTCCTTCACTGCGTTGCAAACTTCTGACTGAAATTATAATACCCTGCAAGGGTATAAAAATACTAGCGTTCTATATTTTAGAAGTATTTTGATATATAAATAAAACTATATGTGATTTATAGGGTCAAAAATGAGTCCTTCACTGTCTTGCAAGCTTTCTGACTTCCAAAATAATAACCTGCTAGGGTTTTAAAACTGCACAATTTGCCCCACTGTGCCCTGTACACTGTGCCATGTTGGCTGCCGGCTGCTGTTCGTCTGTGTGCGTGAGAGGCATGTAAATAACTCGCTCAACCGCTTTGCGGCAACATGTTGCCGGAAATGCATTTCCGGCTGCATGGCCCCCGAAATGTTGCCAGCAACATGTTGCTGAGCCCAGCTCAGTGCAGCTCATTAAGTGCAGCAGGCACACATAGAAGCACAGCTTTATCTTTATCCACGGCCTTAACTGTCTATTGTTTGGCCAGAGCAAAGCGGCTGCCAGTCAGGCAGCCGAGAAAAACGATTTCTTTATGGCGCAAACAGCGTCATAATTTAGATCTAATTGTCAGATATTCGCTGGCTGAGCTTTGCTCTTCGGATGAAGACATTCGCTGCAGTTGGAGTCGCGCGGAACTGCAACTGGACAGCTTTGCTGAGCAACAGCCGAGGAGCTGTGCGATTTCTACGTCAATTACGGCGCGGAGCGTTTTATTGGCCAATGGCGTGCTGGGCGGGTATTAAGCCTGCTTGCTGATAGCTTAACCTCCGTCTCCTTCAGCGGCAGCTGCACCTGCACCTCCTCCGCCACCTTAACCCACTAATGATGACTGCAATGTATGTGGCTGCCACATGGTCGCGGCTATTTATTGGAAGTGCATCTAATGAGCCACTGACATTGCTGCCCACAATTTGAGGCGAGATAGTCGGGTTTTTTGGTTCCAAATGTGCAGGATACTATTTCAAATACTTTCTTTGAGCCTTGTTTTATTCATAAGTCAGAGCTTTGAGTCTGGAAATGTCACTAGTGGGTTGGGTTTTTCGGAATTAATGGTAATTAGTCTTGAAGTTAAAATTCAACTTGAAAGCTTTGTACTTAGTTAAAGTATTTAGATATATATTTTAAAAAATTTAAATTCAAGCAACCTTCTCTTCCAAGTTCCCTTTAACGAGTGCCCACTTTATGACATTCTTAAAATAACAATATATAAATTGGCAAACCGAATTACCAAGCATTTTTTCCGATTTTATGAATGAAATCGCCAGAAACAGATATATATATGTATTCCGCTGCTTGTTTCTAGCTTCCGCCCCGTCAGAATAAATCAAATATCTCAGGCACATCAAAGCGGCGTCTATGACATTTGAACTGCCACCGGAAATGAATGAGTGAGCTCTGCGAAATAATGTTTGGGCCATAAATAGCTTACATACTTCGACCCATTCAATTTGCATATCAATCGGCCAACGCTGCGTATGCGTAATTTCCCTACGTTGAGCTATCTTTGACATTTCTCACGATAATTAGTAGCCAAAGCCAGAGGGGAGCGGGAAGCAGGGAGTAGGGAATGTGAGGAAGGGTTAAGCCTGGCCGGGGCAGGTGGGCGGACAACAGCTTAAGCGACGGCAATTTGCGGTGCCTCAAGGATATTCAATGACAAAAAGAAATTGCCTTTGTATTAAGCCGTCTAGACTGATTTGCCTGCAAAATATACACCATGTGTGTGTGCGTGTGCGAGTGTGTGCGGCTGTGTGTAATAGTCCGCTTAGGCTTGCCATGCTGTCGGCACTTTACATCAAAGTAAAGCCATTGCAATTGGCTAGACAGCGCCTTATAATCCCTCCGTTAGTTGCCTTACCGGAGTGCCTTCCCTCCCCCCTCGCCTCGCACGCACTTGGCCGGGATGTGTTGCGGTTTCGTAATGGATAGTGCTGACCAGGCTGCCACAATTGGGCTATCCTGTCCATGAGTGATTAATTGATGAAGGGATTTCGACGACTATGCCGAATCACAAGATGTTGAGGAATTGCTCTACTTTTCCGTTTCCTGGGAAAGGCATGCGATCACCAGCGGACATTCCTTTCAATATTTTGATATTGCCCTTCGGAACGTGCTCTTACCGGCATTTTTAGGTGATGTGTTTCCATAGATGAGTGAGTCAGTTCCTGGCCTTGAACGGTTTGTTAATAATTCGAAGAGACCAGGAAGGGCCTATAAATATTAATAATTTTGTATAAAAATAATATTTGTTGAAGTATATATTAATTTATTCAAATTTTAATTATAAATTGGCGAAAATATCCCACATACAAGGTCTAAAAATTTGAATTCAAATGTGTTGTGTGTGTAAATATTTTTTCTTAGTTTTATTTAAGACATATTATTGTTTGTAAAATTGTTATTGTTATAAAATTAAGTTTTTGTTATTTTTGTAGGCCACGCGGTTTGCGTCTCTGCTTAAAATTTCCCTTGCAGGCAAGCAGACAACGTTGCAGTAAGCAGACCTAGTTGCAGTGTCCCGCCAGACACGAAGCAGTGGTTCAAATCAGAGGAAGCAGTGAAACGGTCGGTAACGAAAAATCTGAACAAGCAGTTCTGTCAAATTGGACCTTATTACCGATTGGAAAATCTGTGGCAACCTTGCGACTTAGTGCGGCAAACCTTAAGGGGGTTTCCTGAATTACAAGGTCAAAAAAATCGATTTTTTTTTATTGCTTAAATCGATAGATAAACTATCTAAGAACATACCACAAAAATTTCAGAAGCCAATTCGAAGTATTTTCGAAGATACAGAGATGAAAGCAAAGGAGCGCCGATAAGGTTTGCAGGCGCTTGGCAAACTTTGAAGCGCGTTTTCTCCACTTTAATTTTTACGATTCTCTCGAATTGGCGGGAAAGATAACAAAAAAACTACTGGACCGATTGAAACGAATAAAGGCTTATTCTCTTCAGAATTAAATTCTCTTCTAGTTGAACTAAAACGGTTGTTGAAAACCGCTTTTTATATTTTTTACAGCATGTTAAAGTCAATATTTTATCCCGAAAAATGAAATATTGACTTTAACATGCTGTAAAAAATATAAAAAGCGGTTTTCAACAACCGTTTTAGTTCAACTAGAAGAGAATTTAATTCTGAAGAGAATAAGCCTTTATTCGTTTCAATCGGTCCAGTAGTTTTTTTGTTATCTTTCCCGCCAATTCGAGAGAATCGTAAAAATTAAAGTGGAGAAAACGCGCTTCAAAGTTTGCCAAGCGCCTGCAAACCTTATCGGCGCTCCTTTGCTTTCATCTCTGTATCTTCGAAAATACTTCGAATTGGCTTCTGAAATTTTTGTGGTATGTTCTTAGATAGTTTATCTATCGATTTAAGCAATAAAAAAAAAATCAATTTTTTTGACCTTGTAATTCAGGAAACCCCCTTAATGAATTAAAATTTTTTGAAAATTTAGAATAAGTTATGTACAGTCATAGGGAAAGCTTAAAATTGTAAAGAATTTAAACATCTAATAAAACTTATATTATGGTCATAATAACTTATTTATATATTATTAAAAACAGTTATTTTTATTATACAAAATCTTAGATTTTGATTAGCATCATGTTAGCTTACTTTTTATTATTAAAGAGAATCGTTTTTCGTCATTATAATACTGATTTTAAAAATATTGCAGAGTCTAGCTTTGGTTCCTTTGGGTGTAAACATTCGGTGGGACAGCTTTTTACTACAAATTCCTTCAATCCTGGAGATTTTTCATCTAACACTGAGATCGTGGCTGAAATTTAAAGAAGAAACCATTCTTACAAGGGAAACATTAATCACAAATCCCGGTAACCCTGCTATAGAACACTAATTACCTTAGATTACCCGTAATACCAACTGTTAGGCTGCCCGGAGTGGCCTCATCGGCCAAGAGGCAGTACATCATCAAAAGGATGCAAAGAATGCCAAAGGCAAACCAAGCCATAACGGGAATTCGGAAGGCATCGAGTGACCAAAAAGGTTCAGGACCTTGGACTGGCTGGCAGCCTTTCTTAAACTGAAATTTATACATTAACTATTGCACAGACTTAAAGAGAAACCCAAGCAAAGGTTAATACCCTTTATTGTTAATAAAACGCCATAAACCAGAGGTATCCATAAGATACATATGTATCTTTCCTTACTGAAGCATTAGATTCCTTTCTTACCACAAGCTTTTGTTACGGTTTCCGCTAATATTTTAAAGAAATAATTGAAATAAAATGTAGCCCAATGATTGCCTGTGATGAGTGTATAAATCTTAAACTATAAAGCCTGGAAAAACAATATCGATAAAGTAGCTTAAAGCCCCAGGGACATTCACAACGCTCAGCAGATATTTTCTTAATTCTTTTTTATTACACATAGTCATAATACAATTCGTAGGTGCTCAACAATAGTGTTCAACGGTAAGGAAAATCCAGCGATTTTCCCAGGGAATACATACTGTGCTTTTCAAATACAGTTTTTCCTTTTGATTTGTGTAATGATGTTGTGTTCTGTGTGTGTTTGTGTGTGCGTATAATTTAGCTTATAATTACTCAAATACAATATCATATTTTATATTGCATATTTCGCGTTTTTAATTAAAACTTAAACATTTGCTTTTTTTATTTTTTAACAAATAAAAATGTGACAATATATTCTAGGAGAAATTGTTTCGGAAGAAGCGAATTCGATGTGTGTCCCTGTCTGTATGGAAAGCGAAGATGTGATGCGAATGGTAAGCGGGTTTTGTCTTTTATGTGTGCGGACATTTACATTTACAAATATTTTATAAAGTTAGGGAATTTTCTGGGAGACACTGCCTAGAAGTCGTACGAGTTGGCCTCATCGTCGCCCTTGCGTACCTTGAAGATGAATCGATAGAGGATTCCGGCAATCAAACCACCAGCAATGGGTCCTACCCAGTACACCCAGTGATCGGCCCACATACCCTGGACCACAGCGGGACCAAAGGATCGGGCGGGATTCATGCTGGCACCGCTCAGTTTGATCTGTAACGTAAAATTATTGATTACTCCATAATCCTGCGAGATGTATCAGAAAGTAAAGCTGCTCCTACCGCACACAGGTGTCCAGCAGTGATGGACAATCCCACAGCCAGCGGCGCCGATCCCTTGATATCCAAACGAGCCGAATCCGACACAGCCTTCACCACAAACACCAGAATGAAGGTGATCAGAGCCTCAATCAGCACTGCCTGGCCAGCATCCAGATCGGTATTAAAGCTGGAGACACCCAGACCAGCACCAGCCACTCCATTGAGAGCCACCTTGATCACAGCCGCTCCAGCAATGGCGCCCACACACTGCACAATGATGTAGAAGGCCGCCTTGAGGATGCTGATCTCGCCGACGATCAGGAAGCCCAGAGTAACGGCGGGGTTGATGTGGCAGCCACTCAGGTGACCCAGGCCCTGGAAAAATGCAAAGAAGAGATTAAATTTTATATTTTTAGACATATTAATAATTTATATAATTTATTTTAAACATTTTAGGGCTTGGAAGATGAAAGTTAATTGCAAAAATTTCATTTCTAATTAAGATTAGAAATGTGTAAAATATTAAATCTAATAGAAGAAGTAAAGTAATTTCTAAAAAAACAATATATTTACTGGTTCTAATTGCTTAAAAAAAGTACAGGTCTTAGGGGAACAAGCTTATAGTATATACATATTTCCTTTTATTTTAATATTTAATGCAATATCTTAAAAAAATATTTTCATTTATGGGATATAGATTAAAAACTCATGATCCAGACTTTATTTATTGATTTTAAACCTTATTTATTTGGCACCTTTATGAAATGCTGCTGGAACATCAATAAACAACATTCTTAAAGCCTCTAAATAACCCCCTAAATTTATAATAAATTGATTTGCAAATTTTTAAGGCTGCCTAAATTAATAATTTCTAAAGCAAATTAATTTAAGTCAAGTCTCTAATTAACACAAACAAATTAGGGCAAAGTTGTGGCTCTACTAAGTGCTACTAAATGCTCCAATAAATGTTAATAACAAAACGGGTTTGAAGATGACTTTATATACAAAAGTCAACTTCTAATTGAACTTAATTCTTTATATTTTATACATAAAAGCAACTTCTAATTGATTTTAATTTTTTTCAATTTTTAAAACAAAGTTAAAGCTAAAGATTGAAAGGTAATAGCTCAGCTCTTTGACATCGCAACATTTTAACTATCTCCATTTAATTTTTTGCTGCCCTTTGTCAGCTGCCTCTTTTTCTATCGAATTTTCTCAGTTTTTCTTAGTTTCTTAGTTTCGTATTTTCCAATTGTTTGATTTTTCCAAATTTAAGATTGCACAATCGCTTACATGGACGGATACAAGCAATTTGTCAGGGCTGAGATGCACTCGAGTGCATTTATTGTCTGGTCTTTATACGCGGAGTTCAGGTCGAGTTGGCTTGAAAGTAAAAGTGGATTTCGCTGGAACCGCTGAGTCACCCAACCCGAAGAAGAGATCCCATGGAGCTGCTTAGATTACTGCCAATCGAATGGGCTTGGATCGGAGATCAAGTATTATGAATGAAGCTCACTCAAGGTCGATGTGCAGGCTTCTATGTTTGATATCTCTCTAGTTTGTTTCTTTTTTCCTTTTGGTGATACAAATTCGATTTCGATATGGTTTTCTAGCATGGCCAATGTCGTGCGTCGCATTGCGTTTAATTAATAAATGCGCAAAAAGTGCGCCGCACAGAAAATAAAAAATCAAATAAGAGGGAAAAATCTGTGTTGGCCGCTAATTACAAATGCCGCCAAGAGCAAGATCGAGTCGGGTTTTTGAGCTCTCGAAATGAACAACAAAAATCCAACGAATCCAAGCCACTCGAACTCGAACTCGAACGACTTCTTGACATTTTGGTTATGCTCTCATGCGTGCATTGCAATTTTATTTTCGTTTATTTTTTAAGTTTTTTTTTTCTATTAAGTTGCCGCTGACCTAATCGCCGAGATCTGATCTGGCTATAGGCCTATCGCATTGTTCTCAGCTCTCAATGGCTCCGAGCTTCAGCGCAGAGTCGTGAAATTAATGAAATTTATTGTTGTTGGGACCCAAAAGTCTATAATTAAATTTAATATATGCAACCAAAGAGCAATCGCGATCAACGGCCTGGGCCCCGGACCCCAACGAGTTCGTGTGAAATTTGAAGTTGAAAAAATGACTTGGACAGGTGAGTCATCGATGAAATATGACTTGGGTTTGATTTGGGTTTAACTAGGATTTTAATGGGGGATTTTTAAAGATTTTTTTGAGGATTTTTTTAAGGATTTCTTTAAGGTTTTTGTGGCTCTAAAAATGGGTTAGATTTAAAGTTGATAAATAAATTAAATTCTTAAGTAAAATTATTCTCTCAATTTGTAAAAATTTTCAACAAACAACATACCTCGTTTGTATTACTTTGGAGAGAGTTATCTATCTGAGAGTAGGTCTGATAAGGCTACGGATTACTGCCTATAGAGACAATCTTGCAGCGTAAGATTTTCTGCTTTGCAGAAATTTAAAGAGCCATTGACTGATATACAGCCAAATGTCTGATTTAGTCTTACACCGAAACTCGAGTAGAGAAGTATTCTAAAAACCAGACATGCGCTGCTTTATTATTTTCTGCATATTAACCATTTACCTAAGCAAGAGCCATTCTGCAGGCTGTGTGGTAAGTGCTTCTAATTAATTTATTTATTTTTAAAATATATTAAAATATTAAAAAATATTAAATAATATATTTCCAGGGCGATGAGTGTCAAACCCAGTGTGCCGCCTACTGTTTTGGTGTTCTGAGTCCCTGCATGTCCAACCTGGCCATCCTGCAGAAGCGAACGGAGGCCTGCGAGGCTGCTGTGACCATAGCTAGGATAGCCCTCACGGACAAGAGATTGGAGACCTTTGGTGCTCCTTTGACCAGCCAACAGGATAGGGAAAATAGATCCCAGTTACTCCTGCCAGCAAACCTAACCAAAAAAGCCGAAACCTTCATGCAACTGGGCACTAAGTTTTATTATATCGAAAAGGAACTCAAGTTGAACTGGCACGATGCCTTGGGTAAGTGTCACAAGATGGGTGGCCACCTGGCCAGTCCCCAGAACCAGGAAGAGCTGGATGCCTTCAACAATAGGCTGAGTGGCCTGCATCGCTACTGGATCGATGTGACCAATCAGTTCAAGGAGGACGAGTATGTGTCCTTCACCACAGCCTCCGCAGCGAAGTTCCTGCGCTGGGCGGAGGGAGAACCCACCAAGGATGGCAAGTGTGTGGATATTCGTACTTATAATGGCAAGACCACCATGAACGATAACACTTGCTCGGTTAATTTGTATTTTATATGCGAAAAGTCTAATGATTTATAGATACTTTTAGAGTTAATTAAATAGCAAACTCTAAAGCCTTATTTTTGTTACTTTTAAAATAAGGAATTTTAGAACTAGATTTTTAATAGATTTATTTGAATATAAATCTTAAGTTAGATCGCTTAACAAAAGAGGGAAGAGTATAGACTCTAAAACCTTATTTTCTGGTTTTTAAAATTTGGAATTTTAGAATCTTATAGATCTTTGGGATTTATTTACCTTAAATCTAAGCAAAGCATCAAAATTGTAACGAAATAAATTTTATTTTATTTGTTAAAATTAAAAACTTTGTATTAAAAATAAATTTTAAATTGTGTAACAAATTTACAATATTTTTAAAAATATTTAAATTTATTAAAAATAATTAAAAAAGAAAAGAATCTTTAAAAATGAAATTTACTTATACATTTTGTTTGAACAGTCTTTAAATGCCAATTTTTATATTAAAAACCAAGCTTAACCTGGCTTAACAAATTCTTAAAAGTTATTCAAACTGAAAGTTAAAAATCCATTATAGAATTCCTTATCAAAATCCATAATCTAGACTCGATCGAGCATTATTTTGTGTCAGCACTCGACGCACTCTCAAGGTTTTTCAATGGCTACGAAAAGTCTGCCAAAGCCTGGTGTCTCCTCGCTGTCTCTTCCACCAAGCGAGTTGTAAGTATATATCTATATATACATATAAAAATATATAGCTATAGTTAAAGAGATATATCGAGATCGATTGGCTTACGCATGTGCAGCAGCCGCGGCTCGACATTTACGCTTAAATCATATTTTATGGCTTTTCAGCTGAAAATCGAATGTTAACTTGTTTGTTTCGTTCTGCTTTTCAGCAACATTTTGGCGATTGTTGTTGTAGGTATTTAGTTTGTTTTTTTTTTTTCTATTTTATTTTTATTTTTTTGTTTAGCTTGTTTGCCGATTCAATTCAAGTTCGCATCGGGCCAAAGCCAAAGTCGAAGTCGCAGTTGCAGTTGAAGTTTGTTCAACCAACTTGACTCTCGATTTCGATCGCGAGAATTGAAAACGAAAACGTGAATGCTGCACGCACAGAGTTTTCTTGTTTTCCTTTTTTTCTTGGGTTTTTCTTGATTTTTTTTTTATTTAAAGCCGCCTGCGTAATTAAATCAAATAATGGTAAAAACTACAGAGTAAATGTAGTGATCTTTTTCTATTCAATTTGATTCTAGTTTATTCTACTTTATTCCAACTTATTCTATTTTAATCCATTTGCTGTATAAATTTACCATAATATTCCCCTATAATATATATTATTTCTCATCACAAAGACAAGCCTTCAACTTGATTTTTTTCAGCGATTGCAGTCTCCAAGCTTGACATCTTAAAACTGAAAGTTACGCTACAATCGTTTAATTCAAATTTTTCCAAACACGTCTTATTGTTGTTTTGCCATTTTCCTTTTTCTTTAGTTGCATTAAATTTCATTTTTTATTTATAAACATTAGCATTTTCTTAGATTTACTTCCTTGAAAGCGAAACGATTTGTGGTGATATGCGAACTGCATACAAATGTGGATCTGCCGGCGATTTTGCATTTGAAGTAGCGATCTCCAGGAATGTGATAGCCCTAAGCTTTAAGAGGGGATTGGCCAGGCACAGTCACATATCATATTTCTTGACTTATTTCTTGACTTATTTTCTAGACTTATTTGTTATAGTTTGACGTAGTAAAATCGCTTTTTTTTCGCTTGACAATTGGCACGTTTTCCAATTTGACGCCACACGTCTTGCTCCATTGAACAGTTATAGCCAGGTGCATGTGTAACATATATTTATATATTTTTTTTCTGCATATACAGCAATATATGACGGTGACGAATGCAACAAATAACCATTGTCGTCACACTTTCTGATGCAAAAAAAAAAGAAGAAAATTAGCAATGCATAGCCAAGTTAATAGCGGGCTCGAGTGCTACCAATCAATCGCTTTTGTAAACTTACAAGCCCGCAAGAAAAGCTGGAAAAGCTGAAAATGCTGCCACGAGTGGCAGTCATGTGACTGCATCTTTTACAGCTTCCATCTGGCATCTTGCATCTTGGGTTTTTTGCAATCGACGGGCAACTAATTTGCCACTAATGGCCCAAAATGTTGCAAGTGTTTTCCGCGCGCGAGCCGGGAAATTGCAAGGCGCCAATACATTTTTTTGCTGGTAATTTTGCTACTTGATTTCATTATGGAAATTATCCACGCTTTCAATGTGATTATTACGTTGAGATTTATAAACTAGAATTATGTAATAAAAATATGTCAGACAATGTAATAAAATTAGAGCGGTTTGTTGGGCTGTTTTTAAAGGGTTTTTACAAATTACTCATACGTCTAGGGGTACAGATTTTGTTTTATTTGGCTCTCAGATAGGCTCTCTCAAGGTTAAATCTAAGAAACATAATTCCTAATCTCCACCCAAAAGGAATCTAAAAATAGCTTAAAAATCGTAGAAGCCTTTTCATGTTTTTTGATGGATTCGGGCTGAGTTTGAGCTTGACTTTTGTGGGCCTATAAATCCGAATGCAAAACTTACAGATCTCTGAGATCTGAGATCGCTTTAAATGCTGAGCCTCGACAGCACTCGTCTGCGAATGGAGCGAACCGAGAGCCAAGTCAGCATAACGTAATTAAACGCATAATAATCTAATTGCATATTTTGCGTGTTGATTAATGTTAATTGCCAGCGCAGACGCTTTTGCTGCGAGCGAGCATTTATTATTCGCACTGCCAGTGCGTTTGTAAATCTGTCAATTTTCTAAATTACTCGCACACCCGTACGCACACTCTTAGCCAGCAGCCGCACTGCATTCGTTTGCCAATTTTATTGCCATTGCTAGTCACCGCAATGTTGTCGCTTTTAAATGCCAATGTCTCTTGGCCAAAAAATGCGTTTGTGCTTGTGCTTTAGGCCTAAACTCGTGCTTGTGCTAGTGCGTTTTGTGAATGAGCCGAAAGTGTAACGCGGCGGTGGTGGCAGCGGCGTGTCCTTGAAAATGCTCGCCGCCGATCAATGCACGCACCGCGCTTTTTTTTTGATTTTTTCAATTTTTTTTTTGCTTGAGTTTCGAGTCACAAATCTCAAATCTACGGTTGAAATCGCTGATCTTAGTTCTGAAATCTCTAGCTTGATGCATTCTCTTTGGGGCGTTGCATTAGGGTGGACCCAAGTAAGCAGAAGTTAATGATATGCTGCTGCTGATATACAGGGTATCAAAATTACGTATACGCCACGAAGACATTTTTGGTATAACAAATATTATTATTTCCTCATCATCATTTATATTTTATAGAGCAGAAAAATCTGCTACTCTGGTCCACTCTAACCTAGAACCAAAGTGCGTATAGCCTTACCTGGGCAATGGTGGCCACCGTTAAGCCAAAGGTGAATGCGATTTGTGGTACACTTCCGCTGATCGTGCTGCCAACGCCGACGAAGACCAAGAAAAATGTGCCCACCAGTTCGCCGAGCAGCATGCGCCAGATTTTCTTGTTCTCGGTTATGTCGGCAACGCCAACGAATTTCGACATTTCTGTAAATGGTTAAAGAAAACCACACAAAAAACAGAATTAGTTAAATGTTGTAACAAAAAGTACAGAAATTGGCAAAAATCATAATTAATTATTACTTTTTGTCAGCTTATTGTCATATTTATTCAGTGAGCTTGAAGCAAAGAAATCATAAATAAAAACTAGAAGTTGATTAAGTAAAACTTCTTTTTGCTGGCAAATTTATTTCTGTTATATTTCTGCTACATTTCTGTTCTGTATTTCAATAGAGACATGACTTTAAATCAGTTTTTCCGCGGTGACGCAGAAAAAAGGGGGTAATTTACGTGAGGTCATTACAGGCTATACAAATACACCCCAGAATATGAATGAATTTACGTCAGTACAGTACCAGGAATTTTTGATTAAAAAAACTAAAGCTCAACTTATTTATTGTTTAACAAATTTGCCCTTTGCTTGCTCTATTCAAAACAATTTGCATAGTTTGATTAATTAATTTGTTTAATAGCACTTTGGTGTTTACTTCCTGACAGAAGCCTTTCATTTGTCATTATCGCTCGTGCCGTCAGTCGCAGTTGAGTGCTAATGAGTGGGTGGTGTTAATTAATTTGTCTTAGCAAATATTTGCTAAAATACAGCAAAGCCCAAGCTCTGGTTGCACTGTCAATAAATACTATTAAAAAGTGTGATGAAACTGCCTTTTAATTGCCTCAAAAAACCTTATCAGAGAGAGAGAGAAAGAGTTAAGAAGACCTCGTTACTTAAGCTGCATTTAAATAGAGATTATTTAAAGGCTGTCACTTGACCAGAAAAAAATAAGTGATAAACACACAACGCCCCTTTTTCCTCTGATAAGTGTGAGTTGTTATCAAGCCAAGTTCGCACACTTGGCTCACTTAATAAGGCAATTATCTTCTGCCCCATGACTAAGATAAAAAACTATATAGAAAGAGGAAATTGTGGGTTGTAAAGCCCATAAAATCAGTAGTTACAGACTACTGGCAGCACTTTAAAAATGACTACTGTAAATTTAGTTAAAAAACTCATTTAAATTCAGGCAGAGTAAAGTGAAAATATCAAACGATTTTTAGTTGGCCAGAGATGCAGGTTTTAACGTGAGTTGAATTTGCAGAAAAACCATAAATTACTTTGAATTGGGACTAACTTGTGATTTGGAATTCCTTAGAAAATTGTAGTCACTTTTTATCACAAAAAATTACACCAACTAGACACTGATAAGACCATAAATGTATTTCCCACCTAAAAAGTGAGAATTTATAGACAGTCTAACCAGACAATCTGATAAAGAAAATATCACTTGTTTCAATCTAAATATCTTGAGCCCCGGAAATGCCCATTAATGAAAATTCAAAGCATTAAAGGCACTTGAGCGAGTGATATACGAGCCAGACTCTTATAGTTTCCACTTATTTCGAAGCTCCCACGCATTCTACGTTAGAATCGTAAATAAGATTGGCTAATGAAACCAGATCGACCTGTTGACAAGAATCGCAATTGGCCAAAACTCAATTAGCATAAGTTGTACGAAATTTATGGTTTATTTGCCATGAACATTTGTTTAATTCATTTGGTGTGTTCTCTCTAAATGCAAATTTTGTTTTAACAAAAAAAAAACAAATGTAAATGGATATCAATTAAAGATAACGAAATGTCAAACATAATTACACGATCATTGTGGACAAACACAAATGCCAAATTATTGACAATCCATCAACAGGGAGGAGAGAGGAAAAATTAATAACTTCATCTGCCGCCAGGCTGATTGCAATATTAATCACAATCCGCAATTCAAGTTCAATGGAACCTCTGGGGGAATGGATCATTTATTAATCATTTGCTTTGACTTTCATTTAAGGCTTTCAGCCGTGAAATGTGTGTGTTTTTCAAGCAAATTAGCTTCAAGTTTTAGTTAGTTTTCAGTTGTGAACAGGGTACTTGGGCTTAAGTAATCACTTGCAATCAGTTCTAATAATTAATGGGCTTTATATCTTTTTAGGAAGCCAGTTGGCCATAAAGATAAGGCATTAGTACCCTCTGCTACCTAAAAATAAAACTTATCTCGCTAGTTTACCCGGTTTTTTAATCTAAATTGCCACGAGTTTGTAGTCTTAGCTTTAGTCCTTGGATGTCGGCTAAGGCTAAATCTTGATATGCCTATATGTTTGCCATTGAAATTGGTCTGAAGAAAATATATTATTGTGGCCATTAAAAAATGAAATTAACAAAAAGAAGAAATCATAATAACAACAATTACACACAATAGTCATCAATTGGAAGGTGAGGGCGTGACGACGTCGAGGCTTTTGTGTATGTTTTTAGTGAAAAAAAATAAGATATATAATAAACACACAAAAAACAATCCATCAGCAAGGCCGCAGCAGCCGGCGAGATACATTTGCGAGATGAAGATTTATCTGTGTTAATTTCGCCTTTTAATTTGATTTGTTCATAATGAATTGTAATTAATTTAATTAGATGGTGAACCTATAGGCTATAATATTTGTTAAAAGATTCCCCAGTGATTTTATTAACACTCCAGCTGAGGTGTGTTCTAAATCAATTCTAAAACTGGGCTCCATCCATCAGTTCCCCCTCGCCGGCATATCAATCATAACGCGACACTGTCATTGCCAATGCCATCGACATGAAATTAATTAGTGGAGCTACATAACTTGTGCCTGCGCTATCGCAGAACATAAAAATACACAACACAACAAGTACACGACACACTCTTCTGCCATTTAACATTTAATTTCTTTGGAATCGAGAAATTCCAGGCGTATGCGTAATAATATTTATCGGTTGCAAATTATAGCAGTTCTAAAGTCATTGCCTGACCCACATACCAAGAAGTACCTGGTATTTTATGGCAACCTGTTGCTGTACCTGTACCTGGCACTTGCTTTTGATGGCTTTGTCCCGTATTTTAATTTGTTATTATTTTTTTGCAGCGCCAAGCGGAAATTTAAAATTCAAAGCAGGTAAAAAGATTGGCTTCGTTTCTGAGTTTGCCTCCACACTCTTGGCTCTTTTTCCTTTCTTTCTCTTTGGAGGCTTCCGTGTTTGAAAAAAAGAAGCAAAAAACCATAGAGCAACAATGTACAAAAAAGGAAAACAAAACTAATTTTTTATTACTCGTGCTCGTAGAGATTGAAATCTTCCCGCCGGCGAGGTTTCAAGAGCTTTATATACTCTTTCGAAAGGGTTTGTAGATTTGGAGTTATGTTCAATTACATTTAGTAAAGTACTAAATATTATAGATGTTAAGCAACCGTTCAAAAACTGGCATACAACTGTTAAACGTATTTTTATTAATTAAATTTTTTCTACTTTATTTTGTATTAGGTTTTCGTCGTTTTTAGCCACTGTACTTGTATAAAAATCCTCAACAAATTTCCAAAACAAATATAAGAGTATACAAACTTCCCCATCTATTAAACCCGCACCCATTTCACTTCAAATGTCAAGGTCGCTGCACAAACTCCACCCGCGCTTGGCTATTGCGCAAGAAATCTTAGCACTTTCGCTATCGCGATAACCAGGCCATATAAATCACGATCCTCGTGGGAAAAATACCTTACACTACCGCCGGAACCCCTATAGTCCCACCTCAAGTGGCACTCAACCCGTGTAATACCCAACTATATAGTATTTCGCAATGCAGGCGATAGCATCTCATTCACTTTCATGCCAATGCCAAGACTGCGTTCTCCAACAAACGATTTATGGCCAAGTGGAATGACTGACCGATAAGATACAAATACTTGGCGGTAGCTCCTAGAAATAGAAAACTGAGAGGTGAGTCAGGTGGGACGATTGACAGGTAGCTGGAGTTTGGATATCCCCCCCAACCATATAAGATCCGAGAGATTTTGCATTAATGGAGGGGCGTTTAAATTACTGTATTATTAGCTAGGTCAGGACTAGGCCAAATATAGTAATCCACATTGCAAGTGTTTTCCGTATGGAGAAATCCATGCCAAGTTGGCTATGACTCTGACTCTGGACTGTGCATTTCGCTGCAGTTGCCATAAACAGAATGTGGCCGCGGATGTCCGCTCGACATGGTATTTTACTTGTTCTACTTGTTTTGGCCTGTTGTAATTGTGGCTCACATCCTGCCAAGCACTCTAAGAAAATTCAATTTCAAATTTAGTTATGTCTAAAATTTCTTTAAAAATATGAAAAGCATTTTCCCAAGTATTTCTTCAAGTGCTTTTGGTGTCCAACCTTGGCCATAACTGAAATCAAGGTGGAGCACACGTGCGGAAGTCTCTGTCCAAAGGCCAAGTTAAAGGCTTGGCTCTATGAAAGCCGCTCCCTAGGTCCTGGCCTAGAGAAAAGCACCCTTTCCCTGCAGGTTAGAGTTATGTTGATTAGGAGAACCCATGACTTATCTGCGTATTATTAGAACATGAGCAATGTCATCGCCTGTATAGCCTTTTCTCACCTCGTTCCTGGTTTACAAGCATTTTTCCACCAGCTGAGCTCATTAATTCGACACAGTCACGCAATTTTGGCATAAGTTTACTAATTTATGTCTGTTTTTTTTTTTTGCTCATATATGTTTTTTAATCATCGAAAAGAAAGTTAGAAGCTGACAGAAGGGATTTATGAAAATACCTTTGACAGAGTTTGAGGGGTTTTGGGAAGGCTCAGAATATAAAAGGTTTCAAATAAAATATATAATAAACCTTAAACTTTAATATTATATTTTATTTTTATGTGAAAAATGGTAATCTTTAGTTATTAAACTATTATATTTTTCTCCCTATTGATCACGCACTTTAACCAAAATTTGACATCATGACATTTGTTTTGAGATTTACCTCGTCACGCAACAAGCCCAAAAATGTATATATATAAATTCCAGAACAAAGAACTGACTTAACTTTACCGTTAACCATAAACTTTGACTGTACAAAGGAGCTGTCGCAGGTGAGTTTGTAAATTTACCTTCAGTTGTTTAAGGTATTTTCGTGCGTATGCAAATCACAATCTTATATATAGTCTCCCACCTTAATTTTCTTAATCTCCACAACACGAGCATTAATTTGATCTTAAAGCAGAATAATAAAAGTGCAATAACAAAAGGTTCTCTTTAATTTCCACAGCAATTAATCAATTTAATCGGTTTATTAATTTCGGCTTTGGCCTGGTGATGATTTTATTAATAATAATAGCGGCCAGCAGCCGAAGATCGAAACCTGTTCGCTGCCCATTAAAATCGTTATAAATTAATTAGTCACCTGGCTGCGTCTGGGGCTTGGGTTTTGGGTCTGGGCTTTTGGGTAAGGTTATGGGCAGGTACTATTTAGTTCCAGGTACCTTTACTTATTATCTTTATGGGCGCGCAAATTTATGTCGCCTTAACTCATTTATAATGTCCAATAAATCAGGTGCGATTTATTGGGGTTTTGTGGTTTATGACTAACTTGGGTGTTTATCGATTAATTGCGATTATTTGAGATGAAGTTTGATAGGGGAAATTTGGGAGATATTTTTGGAGGGATTTTCAAGGAGAGTAATCAGTACATCTTAGGATTTTGACAAAGTTTGTTAAAAGAATATAATTGATAAGGGTTTTTAAATAATTTTAGCAAATTTATTTAAACAAAAACCCCAACCAAATATTATATAATACTAATAATAATTAATTCCTCTACTATTTTTCCCATATTTCCAAGTATTAATTACAAAAATATGCCTAAAACTGTTTACATTTCTGTGGCCAATTAAATTCATTAATCATCTAAATACCCAAACATTTAAGCTATTGTCTCTCCCCAATTCAGTTTCAATTTGTATTTAATTCCACGTTACGTGAATCTTGAAAAACTTTCCATGGGAACAAAATGCGCATCTTTTTGCTACTGTATAGATCTCCACCGAAAGGCAGCTTATTAACTTAATTATAAGCTATCCGATTAACAAACAAGTTGATCTGCCATTGAGAGCCGAGAAGCTGCACTAACTGTGCCAAATGTCGCAATGTTCTAGCCAAGTCCGAGACATTTCCTGGCTCAAAGTGTTTTCTGGCTTGAACAATTTCACCGTGATGTCATGTCAACTCGGCTCACGATTATTACTGTAATTTTATATCTGCGAATCCCCGGCCATAAAGAACAGCAACTAGCGTCAGTCTAGAGTTTATATATATGTTTATATATATATAGCGACATTGGCCAAAAGATGACAACGCATTGAATTATAAGGTGGGCAAGACATTAAGTGGAAAGAGAGATGAAATTAGCAACACGTTTGTACCATAATTTGCAGAAGAATTTCTCACGCACCTACCAAGAAGGTATTTTTATCATACACTGAAAAGTCAAAGTATTTTTCTTGTATTTTTCCCCCCTTTTTTTATGCCCGCCTTTGGCCCTGAAAAATTGTTTAATATTTAAATCAAATATTGAAACGGGTGGTTAAACACTTGGTCAAATAGTAGTCATAGGCGCACCGAGGCGTTGACATTAATTAGCTGAAATCGAGAATTTTCGATAATGGAGCACAACATTGGGTAAATATTTTCGCCATTATCAGTTTCAATAGCGGCGAAAATGACGCCAGAGTTTCGGTTTAAATAATTGCCGGGGATAAACAAAAGAAACGCAATTAGGATTTTAATTAATTGCTTAAAGAAAATCACCATGTTTCGGTTTATTTTTTGTTTATTTCTTTAGCTTTAAATTAGTTTTACTTATTTTGGTACTTTTCCCTACTATTCCCCAGTCTCATTTCGATCCGGCGCGGCGCAGTTCATTCACTTTATTGCTTTCGTTGGAGCAGAGTCACCTCCATCACCATCACCATCATCATCATGGTCGTCGTTTAAATTGCTCGACTGTAGTAGTTTCCGCTGTTGTTTACCTATCGAAGTTTTCTCCTATCTATATACTTTTTTTCCCCCTCTTTCTGAGGCCTTTCTGTCATGCAAACTTTCAGTTATAGAAATCATCATCAGCCGCCACGGAAGCTAAATCAAAGCAACAAGAAATATCTATAGAAAAAATAACTTGGGGCTAATTTACTGTTTCTGTCATGCTGCGCCAGTCAGAGAAATTATTGAAAAGCCAATCATCTTGTTATCGTTATCGATGGGAGGGACACCCAAAAAAAAATTGGGAAGAAAAAGATGATTTATCAAATATACCCAAAAAATATTCAACTTGTTAAAGATGATTAATTGTCTCAAGGTGATTAATTTTTTTGCCAAAATTTAAGGTTGCATAGAAAGTGAAAACAAAGGCGGAGAAGTGGGATATTTAATTGCAGAGCAAAATGTTTAATAATTGAATTAAATTAATTAATCACAAGTTGCAAAATGGTTTTAATTGGTTTTTAATTTTAGTGAAAAAGACAGATGCTTTTCTGGGGGCCTAATTTTTTATATTTTGTGTTTTTACTTAATTAACAATATTTTTGTAGGCAATAGTAAACCAATTACAATTAATTAAAATATTCAAACCTTTAAGCATTTATATAGAATATTTGTTATTAATTTATTAAACTTATTAGTAGTGAATAAATATTATTTTTAGAATCTGAATCGACTATTTTATATCACAACTAATTTGTAATATATTATTACGGGGTTATTAGGGGGTTAAACCCCCTGCTAGTCACCAACAAGCTCATTATCAAATTCCTATTAAAAAAGTCACCTTATTAATAAATAATATTTATAATTTGCCTTACTTTGATCACAATTATTTCTCAGTAAAACAAACAAGAAAATCCCTTATGATAATCCATATAAAAATAAACTTTCGCAGAAAATCCCACATTCAAAACAAGTACTACAATTTCGCTCACTCTTTTCGCCCCCGTTAAGTCGCAATAATTAACCTTCGCACACACGCATAGTTGGCATTCTCTGGTCTCTGAAAAAAATCTCCAATCACTCACCTGTTTTCTCGACCATTTTTGCTGTCTTCTGTGGGGTGTTTTTTGGGGTTTTATGCGGTGTTTTTTTTGCGGTTGCCACTCGAATTTAGCAAAATATCGCAGAGCGTGGGGGTTTTTCAATCAAAACTTTTGCTTTCGTTTTCAAAGCGCGCTTTTTGTGGGATTTATATTTCGTTTTTTTACTAATTTAGCTGCAGGTAAAAGTGGGCACTTGAATCGAAAAAATCGAATTGTGCCAAATAGCTTTGTATAAATATAATTGTTAAGGTTAAGAGTCTTGAGGTTGCACAGAGTCTCGTTTAGTTTTCACTTATTTTCCACACTCTCTCCTTCTCTCGACAATAACTCGATTTTATTATTACTATTTTTAAATTAAATTGGTTTACGAGCTTCGATTTCCTTTTTCGAATTTTCAAAATGCCGTACGCTTTTCTTTTCTTTTCACTTGCTGCTGGGATTTTCGTAAGCTGTGCTACCACGTTCGCTGCTCGAGCGCAAATAAACGTTGCCAACGCTGCCGCTGTAACTGATATACTCTCTGTCGCAGTCGCAGTCGCAGTCGAGGCTGGCGTCGCTGCCGAAGTCAACGGAGACAGCGACTGCGACTGAGGCAGACTTTATTTCTTCTTGTGGGGCTTGGCTTTTTCAGCTCTTTGTTGGCCGCCAGGATCTGGGTTCGGAATACACCTGTTCACCTGCTCCTCCTACCTGTGTGTGTGTGTGTGTGTGTTGTGCCCCGATGACTTAATCGAATAAGAGGGGGTGTCACTGTGCACCGTGTGGCGCATACACATATACAGGCCTGTTCTAGTTTCCACTTCCGTAAAATTTATTCGGATTCGGATTTCCCTGACCTGTTCTAGTGTTCACTTCCGAAAAATTTTTACGGATTCGTATTTCCCTCTGTTAAGTCTCTGTTAATTTGCAGACGAAACGCACGGAAACTTTCCGTGTGCCATTTGGCCGGCGGATTCAAATCCGCAAAATCAGAAATTAATTATTTTAAAATACAATGCGATTATGTATATTACAAATGTTAATTGTAATCTATTCCTAGAGGTTTTGGGAACATTATTGCATAATTGAATTAGCTAATACTAAAGTACTTGATTTATAAATAATTATTTTGTGGGTGCACCTTAAAATCGGTTCGATTCTAACCTTCAGCATTATTGCAAATCCGCTGCCGCTGTGTCGTATTTGAGAGGGACCATTTAAGGGTTGTCAGCGTTTCAAAAAAAACGGCATATATTTAAGATTAATTTCGAACAATTACTTTTTATGTTGTTTTACAATTAAAATATCTGCTATTAGGTAAAGTATATGAAAAAGTGTTATTCTTTAAAATACCAGCCAATTCAATCCACAAACTGAACTAAATTTTATGCGAAGGGAATTTTTTCTAAACCCTCGGCAACTCTACTTTCCAGCATTTTGCCACCAGAACAGCTGATTGCAATTACAAATATTTCAAAATGTTTATTTCCTGTCTTAATGCTTATTCCTTAGATTTTATTATTTAAATTAGTGCTTCATTACTATCTATGAGTTGGAGACTACAGCGGGCCAAAATTTGATCAGCCCCTTTTAGCAAATCTTAGACAAGGGAATCTCTTTTGTTGAAAGCGACCAGCTGATTTTGTTTGGGAATTTAAGGGAAATTAAAAAAAATTTCCTTAAATCACCAAGGGAAATTCGCTTATGTTAAAGGGAAATCCGCAAATGTTATCAAATTCACTTCCGAATGGAAACTAGAACAGGCCTGATAGTAAAAACATTTATTATGGGGCGCGGATAGGTCGTTGCGAGTATGATTTTTTGATGGGTTTATTTTGCCAATTCCGAGTGCTTACCTTTCTACGTTGCAAGCTCAGAATTATGGCACATTAAATCCTAGCTGAGAAAAAAACAGTTATTAGCTTGGCCTTGGCCTCATTTATCTAAGGGATCTACAAGGGGTTTTTTGTAGAATTTTCTTAATATTAAATTGAATTTAATAAGGGAAGGTATATAACAACTTTGGCTTCACTTATAGATAAAATATGGAAATATCTATATTTTTTACCCTCTAATATAAATTTCCATAATTTGTATATCCTTGCTGGGTATTATAATTTTAATCCAAAGCTCAAAACGAAGTGAAGGAGTCATTTCCGACTGCATAAAGTATATATATTCTTGATCAGCATTAACAGGGGAGTTTTTCTAACCATGTCTGGAAGACAATTTTCAAATTTGATTTTTTTCAAAAATTTTATAAGGGGTTACATCTTAAAATCATCAAAACTTGATCAAAATTGATTTTTTAAAATATAAAAATGTAATATGCAGATTTGTTAACCTAGAAAAAACTAGCATAAAGCCGCTTTCCGAATTGAAATTAATAAATTATTGGCTTAGTTATGATAATTGTAACCTGCAAGGGTATAGAGACTTCGGATTATCAAAGTAAGCTTCCTTTCTTGTTATTAAAAATATTTAAAAATTTGTATATTTTAAATTTAAGTTCATATTATAATAAAGATGGAATATAAACTATAGTTCAAATAAAAATCCCAAATTAAGTCCCGCAAATCTTATCCCTTAAATAAAATTAAACCCAATCTTATCTCCAAACAAATAGAGTCCAAATATTTCGAGTGCCCACGTAGACTTGCACTTAATCCTCCTCCTCAATGTCATACACCGCTTCTTTATTCACATCAATTATCACCAATAATGCAGCCAATTTAAAACCCATTTCTATTAAGCCACTGGGATGTGCCAAATATTTATTTTAATCTAATTGTTATTGAACTTTCCCCTTCCAAAGCCATTTTTGGGAACTTTTTTGGTTTGCACACAGCCTGAAAGGCCGTCGTCAGCCTGCCATTTTGGGCACTTGATATATGTACTATAAACTATATAAATACTATAAGCAAGTGTGCGGTTTATAACACTCAAAAAGCAATAAACATTTTTCGATTAATCTAATTGTGCCCGTCATGCAGAACCTCAGACATCATTATCGCCCTGCTCCGATCTTATCACCTTAGCATAGTTTTCTTCGAGTTTCAACCTTTTGGGGTAATCCACAAATGCTGCACGTGACTGATTTAATACCCTGTAAGCCCAGAAAATCGCCAACAACCCATTAAAGTACCCTAAGAGACCACCCGCATCAAGGCCGAAACAGGAAAGTGTTTCATTTTTAATGTGCAACTGTTTTTCCACTTTAAAACTCAGCTAATGGGTTACGGTTGGGCCCTTATCAGTTTCACTTTTAAACAACTTTCCAGGGCTTTAATGTGCCATATTGATTGTGATTTTGTTGTATTTTTTTTTTTGCTTATGAATAGGGCCTTTACCTTGTCGACGACTATTTATATTTTTGGCGGGGAGCAACAGTTGCCAGAGTTATTGACAAAACAAGTGACAACCCGAAATAAAAGGAGCTAGAGCCTCTCGGAGCCAAGACTCATTATGAAGACAAGAGCCAGGGCTCAGACGGAATTACTTACGAGTATATACACAGTCGTATCTATGGACATTGTGCCGACTTTGTTGCCTTAATGAGTAATTATTTTTAATGCCAGTTAACCATTAAAATGGCACGAACTCTGGCTAAATGGGAGAGATAATCATCGCAGATCCATTGAGACTGCTGCTTTTTTCCTTCAACAATTTACGCCCCTAAGCTTCCTCAGACAGAAAATCTAATTAAATCCATAATTTGATCAGTATAACAGATGGGAAGTTTTGAAATCAAAAATTATAGAGAAATATTGTTAAGGTAGTTGAAAAAATATAAGGAATTATTTAGGCACATCAATTAGTCTGGAAATAAGTAGTTATATTATTAAATGATTCACTTATGTAGGAGGTGTACATTGAAAAATATTTAATACAAATAATTAGATACTAGGAAATGCATTTAAGTAAAAGTTGGAACTAATAAAACTCATTTGTTATTATTAAATTATATTGATCATTAATATAAATTTCCTCAGCAAAAAGATAATAATATTTTAGTACATGGAAATACTAGGGAAAAATGCAGTAGGATAGGAAGTGTTATTATGGTTAAAAGAAATATATTTTGAGTGATTTAGATGTGAATATTGAATAAGTAAGGCTTTAGTAGGTCATAAAAATATCAATAAGGCATTAGTTAACGAAATTTCAATATAATAGTCTGTTTCCTAAATGAAAACCCAATAAAAGAGGCTTATAAAATGTTAATATCTCCTATTAGAGGACTCTACCATTTCCCCAAGTGAAAGCTGAACGTCTTTCCTGTAAAACAAAGCCAGTAACTATCCACATACGTAGTAATAAATAGCAACCATAAAATTTGTTTAAGCTACAAAAACCGAAACCATGGCTGATGGTAGCAATTACCAAATCCAAATTGAATTGAATCTTTCATTTTGCTTCTTCAATTATCTGTTTTCTCTGCACTTGGATCTTGTGATGCTGCGAAAACAATTCGAAATACGGCAACAAAAAATTAAAAATAATAATAATAACTGTAAGCAAAACACCAAAAAGTGACATTGAAACATTCGCAATTGTAACCCCCCAAAGAAGAAGAGGAAAATACACAACAAAAAAAAAGAAACGATAACAATCTCGAACGAATTATTATGCATGCTTATGTACCACCAGTTATTGTTCAATGGGGGCGGCTAATAAACTGAATTGTAATTGTAATCGTAATTCGCCCGAATGAGTCGGTTGAAAATTAAAAGCCTCCGAAATTGGTTCAATCAGGTGGCGAAAATAAAAATTAAGGAGCGTGTGTGTGCTGCAAGCAAACCAAAAATCAAACCGAAAATAAAGGTCAATGTCGCTCGCAGCCCTCTACACTTTTTTCCTTTTCGATTTTTACCTATGTGATTTGATGCTCTATCTCCGCCATTTGACACTTCATCAATCTTGGTTAGAGTGTGCGTCCGCGATGCGTGAGTGTCCAAGTCCCAGACTCTGAGCTCGTACACTCAATGGGCTATGCAAATTTTAACCAGCCAGCGCTCTGATTATGGCTTGCTCAGTTATAGTATTGCCGCAGACAAATGATGTATGATACGTGTGCAGTACAGTGAGTGCTCGTTGGGGTGTTTTAGGAAATTATACAGATTTTGGGAGCTATAAAAGGATCTCTATATGTAGAGGAGGGCTCTAGCCATACTAATTTACCCAACTTTCCATCTTAAAAATTCTGTCTTAGTGTATTTTCACTGTAAACACACATATATCACACTTTATGTTTCAATAAGGCCGCTTGCTTGCGGCTGTTGGCGTTGGTTGGGTTTGCTTTTATTTGTTGCTGGTCTTGCGGTTCTCGTTATTGTCTCTGTTTTTTACTTATTTTGTTGTCTTTTTTTTTTCGTTTTGTACTTTTTGGCAAGCCTCGTCCAAGTCCAATTCGAAATGTTGAATTGTTGTTGAGCTATTTGTTTTGCACATTTTCAGATGCTTGTCGTCTCCAACTCGAAAACTCCATCATCTCTTTGGCTT